CTCTCGGGTGCATGATTGAATTTCATACATTGTTTATAAACATTATTACAGACATTTTAGTGCATATTCATAATAGGTATTCTAATACTTATTCTAATAGGTAATTTACTAAAATTACCATAAAAATTTTCAATGCACCATGCTTTATTTCATACTATCATGGAACTAAACCCCACCCTGGGGACTCTATCCCCAAACCCAGAGGTTAGGCATTTTAAAATGTTAAGGGCTTATTGATTATTATAAGCTTTATCATACTCATGCAAAGTGTTTGACTGCCTATAATTTTCAGAAGTAAAAGAGTTAATCTATAGTAACGCACTTTCCCTATATAATCAATAGACAAACCCCCACCCCAGAACCCTTCACCCTGGGGCCACAAATTTCACAATTTTGAATGAGGCACCCTTGGTCATCATTACCATGCACCTAGTTTATCTGTTTTATTTACAGGGGGAAAGAAGAAGATTTCTAAAGAATTTTACATTTTCACTATATGATCAACAAAGCCCCGCCCTAACTCAAGAACCCCTGACCCTGGGGCCATGAATTTCACAATTTTGGTAAAGGGCCCTATGCTGATTAAAATTATGCCAACAGTTTGACTGCTTGATGTCCAGGAGTAAAGAAGAAGATTTTTAAAGATTGCAACGCACTTTCCCTATATAATCAATAGACAAACCCCCACCCCAGAACCCTTCACCCTGGGGCCACAAATTTCACAATTTTGAATGAGACACCCTTGGTCATCATTACCATGCACCTAGTTTATCTGTTTTATTTACAGGGGGAAAGAAGAAGATTTCTAAAGAATTTTACATTTTCACTATATGATCAACAAAGCTCCGCCCTAACTCAAGAACCCCTGACCCTGGGGCCATGGATTTCACAATTTTGGTAAAGGGCCCTATGCTGATTAAAATTATGCCAACAGTTTGACTGCTTGATGTCCAGGAGTAAAGAAGAAGATTTTTAAAGATTGCATTAATTTTAGTGGTTTTGGCCCCACCCCTCAGGCCCCAGGGGGGCAGGGGCCATGAAATTCACAATTTTTGTTCCCCTTCACCCATAGATGCTTTGTGCCAAAACTGGCTAAAATTGGTTTAGTAGTTTCAGAGAAGAAGCTGAAAATGTTCAAATGTTAACACACGACACACGACGCACGACGCACGACGGACGACGGACGACGGACGACGACGGACAGAAACGGATAGCAATAGGTCACCTGAGTTACTCAGGTGACCTAAAAATTTGAAGTCATTGTAGGCCGCAAAACGGCCTTATAGAGAATGATCCTTTAAAAATACTGTGAGTACTGAAAGACGGTGGCATGAATGATTTTGTTTGTTTAACACCCCTTTCGAGAATAAAATTATTTTTAGCAGCGAAGGATATTTTTCTGGCTAGCAATTACTGCGACACGGGATCTCAATCTGAATTAAGGGCCGATATCCATGTCACGCAGTGGGAGTCGAATCCGCGACGCCGGTAAGGATGGACTTCTTCAGGTCCGTGAGTCCAAAGCAAACCCGCTACGTCAAATGGCGACTGGCAGTATATAAGAAAAAATGTTTTAAGATTTTGTAAAATTATATGGAAATTATAAAAGTTTGTTTCAATTTTTCACAATATATCTACCTGTATTTTAATATATAAATTTATATCTTTGTACTAAAAGTATAAAGTGTTATGAATTGTCACTGTTCTAAAATTGTTAGTATCCTATTACAATTTTCATTAAAAAAACATAGCAAACTTCAAATAGGTATATGCATAAATAAACAATTGCAAATTACCAGATTTCATTTAAATAAATGTGTTTTGTCGCCGTACGACACACGGATGATAATGATGTCAAAATGTCTAAAGCAGCGTCAAGTTTCCTCTTTGCTAAAAACAAGTTGGATAATTCCAATTTAAATTAAGGAATTTCATTGATGCACATAGTTGAGTTTCCCTTAATTCTTCAAATAACAGCCAGAAACCAATCTCGCGCACAAATAGGACCTTGTGAAGAATTACTAGTACTCAAGTTATGGACAATATTTTTACTATCATTCAACTAAAGAATCTTATATATATATTGGCTGTCAACATTGACAGCGCCTTCTGCTATTCCTGTAGCTGTTTGTTCTACCCTTCAATTTGATTAAAACGATTTCGCTTAGGAAACTCCCACTTCTCTAGTACACTAAAGAGGAAAAAACTGAACTGCTTTCCAGTGCGTAGTATCGTCATCGAACGCCGCCGTTTTTCGTGTGTTGGATTTACCACTTTCCCATTTCGGATGTTTGATAAATTGATAAAATAATTAAGCAAATGTCCTTAAATTTTCCAAAAGACGACACAATAGATAGTGAATAAAAAATAGGATAATGTTTTCCAAATTACTATTTAATACTTTTATTTCGAAACAATACTCATGTATTATTTTTAAAACCTTTTTTTTTTTCGTGCGTAAGTACATTGAAGCATGTTAATGAAGTATTAATTTTTTGTCTATATTTTATCAAAAGAATTCAGGTACACTAAAATATGATAAATAAATACTTGCGAAAAATTTCATCTTGCAGCGCCTATTATTTTTCGAGAAAAACGCTTTGTACACGACAACCCTCGTATAATGCTCAAAAAAAAGATAGAAAAAAAAGAATAACAAATTAAAATATTTTTCTGTCTATTTTCCGTCGTCTGAAGTCACGATCGGAGTCTGTATATATGCGCATGGAGCTTTCTCCAGAATGGGAGAGGATCGTACATTTTGGCTATGGTTTGCGATGATGGTATTTCTCATACATAATATTCTAATAATTATGCAATAACCCTGCAAATCATTGTGCAATACATATTTACTGCTTTGTGAACACACCAGAAGACTAACCTAAATTTAGCCCACTAAAATCGCATAAAATCCTAATAATAGTATTATTTCATGCACATGTATTTGAGTACCTTTTTTGTACACCCTTTAAAGGGTAAATTTACTAGAGGCACATAACTTAGAGTTTCTAAATAGGAATGAAATATATGGGTAAATTGTCCGTTATAGTCTTTGTAATTATAGCTTTGACAAATTTTTATCCGTTGACTCGTTTTTGTGTCCGAGATAATCAGACAAAGTCTTATTTTTAAAAACTAGAATGGTAATAAACTTAGCAAATTCTATGGCATCATATACCCCCAACAACCATTTTATTAACTGATTAAGATGTAGTGATCTTTTTTCTTCTTTCCTAAAATACATAATTTATATTCGTTTTACTAATATAGCATTGTAAACAGATATAAGAAATTCAAACAAAAAGACAATTTTTTTTAAATTTCAATAAACTATTTTTAAATTTTTATGGTAAAAAAAAAATTCACAAAGCAGTATTCAAGAAACAGCCGTGTGTTGTTTAGCAGTTACTAGTATTTGATTTCGGAGTTAGATATATAGTGAAACAATCATACAATGAAATCTTCAAGTATTTTTCAACAATTAATTGGTAATTTTAAAGAAACACAATGTGCGTACGAAACGGATTTTTCGAACATGCCAGAAAAAACGAAAAAAAAAAAAAATGTACGAATTGACATCTGTAGTTTGCATACGAATATACGAGTCGGTTGGTGTACGAGTTAGTTTAGTTCGGCGTAACTCAATGAATATTCATGAGGCGAGAAATATTGATAACGGCAAATATCAGGAATTAGGCTTTGTATCCATCAACGAAATGTCTTTGAAATAACTTGAAAGTATTTGTTAACTGTGTACATTTTATTTTCAACCATCGAAATAAGTCTACTTTCATTATTTTGACTCTGCAAAAATCGCCGCTAGGGTCCCCGTGTGTTTACACAGACCACCAGCAATAGCCTGTGGCTATATATAGCCACCGTCTAAAAAGTAGGTCACTGTGACCTACTTTTGATTTAACATGATGTGAAGTCGTAAGATGCATCAACTTACAAGAATTGATGATCCTAGTCCTTATAGTAAGCAAAATATACACGTTTTTATTAATTGTAAATTTAGGTCAACTTTGAAGTGACCTTGAGACCACGCCCTTTGCCCCAGGGTAATTCCCCGTGCAAATTCTAATGTTCGACATATCCTGATCCTTGTATGTAAGTTTGGTGAAATTCTGCCTGGTGGTTATGGAGAAGAAGATTTTTTAGCAACCAGTACTTTTGGTTTTGTTTTCCTGATTATCTCCCCTTGTTTAAGGGTCCAAACCCTTATTTTAGTATGGTAGCCCTTGGGCCAAGGATACCCTGTGACAAATTTGGTACTGATTGGCCAAGGGGTTCTTGAGTTATAGCCCATATTCTAAAAAGTTAACGCACACCGCACAAATGGCCATAGCATTAGCTCTTTGAGCCTTTGGCTCAGAAGAGCTAAAAAAGTTTGCTTGCTTTGTTCTTCTCATTTTGTAGTATGGTTTTAAAAGTGTTAGCCATAGTTTATTTTAGTGGAGATGATAACTATATGACAACTTTCAATTTTGCCATCCCCTGGTTTGTTATTTTATGTATGGTGCCTCAGGGAAATGTGCCCTGCATGCCCAACACGATACATGTACACTTCCAGTCCTTGCTGAAAAACACATCCACCACATAAAAGCTCCCTCCCCAGAAAACTTTTGTCAAGTCTCTCTTCTGTAATGCATTTAATTGCAATATCTTCAAGCATCATGCTGTATCCCACTTTACCCCAACCATCCCATCCCCCAATCCCCCTGAAAAACACATCCACCACATAAAAGCTCCCTCCCCAGAAAACTTTTGTCAAGTCTCTCTTCTGTAATGCATTTTCTACCCCAACCATCCCATCCCCCCAATCCCCCTTCTTACATCATTTTGCAGCCAAAAAACCCTCGGTAATGTTGAGGTTCTTAATCAAAAATCAGGAGTAGAGACTATATCAATATTGTTGATTGGAATGGAATGGAGAAATAGATAAGCAAGTTGGCACATGTATATGGTCTTCCTTCAAACTAAGAATCTTTAAAGAGTACCTGTAGAGCAATCCTGTGTTGGACCATTTTATCAACTGTGTATTTTCCTTTCAAGACTGTTGCCATAGAGCCTAAGGGAGCTAACTCCAAGACAATGGCTCGTGGTTGAATGGAAACTCCCAAAAGGGAGACAACACTGGGGTGATTCAGACATCTCAGAACAGTCACCTGAATAACAGCACAGCAAACTTGTTCAGTACGAACACGGATATTGTGAATTTATGGATATAGTAAAGTCATCTTGGATCCCTAGCTATATGATTTTAATGTATTTCTTATACAGTTATAACGAATTACGGATATAGCAAAGTAATTTCATAGGTCCCCGTGACTTCGCTATAACTGAGTTTTGCTGTATATCTAATGTTTGATTTCTCAAGACAGATATTGCAAAAAAAAATTGACAATCTCTCATTGATTTTAACCAGAATATCAATCATTTGAAAAACAATCTCTGAACACAATTTACATATGAAATAAAATTTTTAGTATGATTATTTCCTTCTTTATCTATAATTTTCAACGTTTAATTAATTTTGAATATCTATAACGTTTGGTACCTCCTGCCTCAGCATTTTATGGGGGTGGATATCCCCGATAGCAGAGAAGACTTTGACAGCTGTTTCTTGTCCCTGGTATGACATCTGGTACACGTTACCAAAGCCTCCATCTCCCAACTGGTTTGCAGCTCTAAATTAATGACAAGAAGCCTGTAACTGCTGCTTGTTTTTAAGTTAAATCAAAATCTCATAATTTGTTTCCCTTCATTCCATGAAATGGCAACATGCACTTGACATGACTTTCATAAACTTTGGAATCTGACACAATTCCTGATAAAGTAATGTTTTGTTTGAGTAAGACAAATTGTTGTACATACGTTTCCTGGAGATCTAATTTCCCAATCAGTAGATGTGAGGGGAGATCACTCATCACAATGTCAGGCGCCTGAAATCAGAAATCATTTAACAGAATAATAGGGTCTGTAATTAAAAATTATTCCTTATCCTTACATGTATAATAAAGCTTTTAATTTTATGTACACAGCTACAGAACTAGAGCTTGCAGTACTTTACTGCAATAAGTTTCACTTAAGCATTGCACTAAACACACCACCTATTACATGGATTTAACTTACAAGTTGAGAGAGGGGCACCAGATTATTACATTGATCACACATCACTTCATTACTGGTCTCTGATGTCTGTAACAAGTCCTCCACCTTAAAAAAGTGGGGCAGATCGCCTTAAAGGAAGAAATGTATTATTATCATTTTAATATTACTAAGTTTTTCATCATTCCATATAGATATTATTTTCTTTAGAATGATAAAGAAATCCTAACTAACCTGAGATAGATATGCCTATCAGTAACATCTTAATAAAGGCATCATGCTTCTATTATGAGGTTGTCACCTTTTGCTACACAGTTAAAGTTTTTTTTTCCAATAAAATCACTTAAATATACATATAAGCAAATTGTTTAACAAATTCTTTGAAATCTGTCATACGTACTTGTACACATGAAACAGGGAACAAACTTCTCTAGGAGTTCTTGCCCCTGCATAGGGTCAATAGTTGTCAGGCCTGGGTACCATTCCTCTATCAGACCATCAATGTGGTCCACAACCAGTCCTAGGATCCTGTAAATAAAACAGTCAACAAATCTACATGTATTTACAGCCAGTGTTTGAAACTCTCTCTTAAATTTTAGCCAGTCTGGTAGAGTGAACTGCTTGTAAAAGTAATCAGCTCTGAAAAGGCTTATCTACCCTGAGAAAATAACTGCCTTTTAAATTTTTTTTTTTTTAATGTGGATCCTGATTATTTAAGTGATTAGTTCTACCTCTTGGCAGGACTTTGGTATAGGTACTATTAGATGACATTATACAAATTCATTGATCTTCAGTCATTTAGATTATTTGTATGACATAATAATGTGTTAGAATAAAGAATATTCATTGTACATGTAAATCATTCTTTATGTAAATCAGTAACTTACATGCTCCCTTGTCCAGAAATCGGCACTGTTATCGCTATTTCTTCCTTGTTTCCTGAAATCCCCTCAGAGTCCACTAAACAGAACGTCTCCTATAAATTCATCCAAATTATATATATGACAATTTAGAAAATGTTAAAGGAATTATTCTTTCCTCCCCAAATTTTCAATGAATTTCTGATTAACATGATTAATAAAGTGCCGCGCCACAGCATGATACGCCCATCAAAAAAATTACAATTTTCTTGAACAGTTTAGGTGCAAGAAAATCACATACCTTGCCCATGATTCTAAGATTTCGATGATTTTTCCATTCCTTAAAATATTTATCCATCCCCTGTGATGTATAGGCATCAATTATAATAAATATTACATCACTGATAAAAAAGATAAGATAAGATAATATTTATTTAAAGTCGGGTACATCAACAAAGAACATTAGCTCTGAAGAGCTATTTTCCGACTAATATAGATAGATTTCTGTGCTGGTTGTGTTAGACCTTGTCAAATGCCCATCATCAAATTAGTCTTAACAACTTAATCTATACCAAATTAATTTTGAAAAGAAAAGGCTGGCCATCAAATGACATATGTTATAAACTGACCAGCAGTTCTTCTGTCTAATCCCCAAAGGGTACAGATAAGAGACAGCTAGCCTTCCTACATTGAACTCATTAATTAATCTTTAACTGGATGCTTGTCTACTCATTACTACCAAGAGATGAATGGGTCTGCACTATCTACTATAAATTTTTTTTAAAAACATATAAAATACTCAAAGATTTTTTTTTTGTTGAGATTTAATTTCCGACAGGTTTTAATATGTAATTCATATGGACATGCTGATTCCACCCCACCCCATAAAATTAGTTTTTAAATAAATATTACATAATATCAGATTAGTCTATAATGCAATATCAAATTAGTTTTGATTACTTTTCATCTAATTAAGCTAGTCAACAAGAGCTATAGCCTATTTTTAATCAAACAGGCTTACCCACTTGCCCAATACTCAAGGGATATAGATAACACCAATGCTCTGTCAGTTAGCTCCTCGCACTCAAAACCCATTAATTTCTCTCTAATTTGACATGCAATTTTCTGTTATCAAAATTCTTCTTGACCAGTGCTTGATAATTACACTCAAGGGAGAGGTAGGATTTCTCTAACATGCATTATATTTGTTATAGATTGCTGTCAAGTATATTCTTTAATAAAATAAGTATTTTCTTGATTTAACACTTTTTTAATAAGGACAGTGCAATACTCTTACATTATTTTAGATGTGTAAATAAATAGTAAAAAGACACATTTTTTTTTTTTAAATTTCACTTAAATTAAAGGTCACAGTGACCTTGAAATAGGTCGCGACACACCTTCTACCTAAGATGCATAAACTGGCTAAGTTTGATGATTGTAAGTCTTATGGTTTTCTTGTTATGGGCTGGAAAGGATTTTTCCATATTTGGCTATAACTTCTTAATTAAAGGTCAGAGCGACCTACTTTTTGTGCGGACACACCTTCTACCCAAGATGCATCAGATGACAAAGTTTGATATTCCTGGGCCTAGTAACATTAAAGTTATGAGCCGGAAACGAAAAAGCTAACAGACAGACGGACAGACGGACGGACACAAAGCCTATAACATAATATGTCCCGTCTTAAGACGGGCGTATAAAAACCCCTTACTCTGCTCCAGTACATAAAGATGCCCTTATTCCAATAAGTCAGGGACGGCTCATGTCCTCCAACCAAAACCTGACAAAAGAGGCATGGAAACATCAATTTACAATGATCTTCTGTATCTTCTTCTTAATCATGACATATATTTTAATTATATCTAAAACAGGTACAAAGATGCTTCTTTCAAAATAATTTTTGGTTAAACACAGATATGCATACAAGTTATAGAAATCATTCATATCATAATGAGTTTTATTTTTCCTGCAAGTCATTGTAAGAATTCTATACTGATTTCTTTTTTAACTGGGAATTAATATTGTGACATTAAGATTTTACCTCTGTGACCTGACTTCTAGAGAAGACAATCAGACGAGTGATAAGTCGTGACCACATTCCTAATGGAACGTAAGCCATCATATAGTAACGGCAGATCTTATCTGGAAAAGAGAATGACAGTCTACAGTAACTACTAAAGTTATAGATTATTCTGAAAAAAAAGTCACCTCTTTAATTGGTAACTTTTGTTTTCAAAGCTTTACAGATATACAGGTAAATATCAGTATCTCGAACATGGGATATCTCGAATACCCCGCTTATGTCGAAGTATATTCAAAGTCCCAAGCCCTTTTCTACCTGACTTATCTCGAAGTGCAGTGAATTTTTCGGTCTACTGAACACAACTGGCGTCATGACTTCACACACTCTCGCCAGTGGCTATTAATTAACATCTTCAAACTTGGGGAATCTTAATTAATCCCAAGCTCATGTTGGGTATCTGTGACAAGTTAATTGGTATGACAGCTTGGGTGTTCGGTGTAGTCTACGACCGATAAAACAAACCACTTCGCAGCAACTCAGAAATTAAATACAGACAATATTACCGATATTGCATGTAATAGTATGCTCTGTATAATTAAAATCGTAAATTCATAAAACTCAGATATTTTCACAATAAATTTAGATTAAACAGTTAAGTTGCAGTGCGTAGTGCAGTGATTGATTACATTCATGTTTATCTGCATATAAATAGATAACCTTGACTGCCATTTGCATTGTTAGTTTCGTAAACTATATGTTCCTTAGTAGTACTTCGTAATGTAAATACTTGCAAGCTATTAATAATATTCAAGTACACAGTTTGAATACTGATCATTTTTTAAATAACATTTTGCACTAAATTTCATCAAATTATGTTTGTAAAAAATTTTTCTTTTTTCTTTTCTTACGGAGAAGGTTCTTCAACTATAACGGTAATGATACATCCCGTTTGACCACGCACGCATGACCTGGAAAATGTAAAATTGGCGTATATGCAATAAGGCATGTATATTAAATTGTTTTACAATTATACACGATAACGAAAACAACAACAATTGTTTTTCTTAATATTTATTGCGAATATGCTTGAGTTTTTATCATAAAGACTTCGTGTTTGGTAATACAGGATGGTATTACGCATAAAGATATATACGAAAAAAACGGGAAATTATTGTTTCGACTTTGGAAGATTACTTCGGATATCTCGAACCCCCGGATATCTCGAAGTCGTGTCCAGGTCCCCCAAACTTCGAGATACTGATACATGTATTTCACTGTATATGAAAGTAAGAATATTACATGACAATTTATAATCAGACATATATGAATAAACATAATATCCACATAAAAACTCAGACCTACCTTTTTTGGATAAGGCTGGCATGTTGAGGTGAGGTTTCTTTTCTGGCAGGTGGCAGGGGATTAAGAGTTCCTCATCAGAGTAGGGCAGAGCAATCTCAAATCTGATCAATAAAAAAATTATATCATCACACATTTTACAGTGCGGATAAGAATCAACTAAATTCTTGACACCCATTTTGGCACTTAATAATCCAGATTTTCAGAATAACCTTTACAGACACGCTATTCTTATCTGCTTTATGAAAAAAAAATTACACATCATAAATGAACTGAAATGATTCCAATGTTAAGAAATTATTACATATTAAATGAGTGACTCTGAGGCAATTTAAAACTTCTAATTACAAAACAGAATATAAAACATAGAGACATATGTAACTGACTGACTTTTCGAGTAGCCTTAAATACTGTGGAATCAGAGATTTGGGAAACACAAAATTCTCCACTTTCTTCCCTGTAAACAGCAAATTTACATCTTTTTTCCTTAAAATCTGCAAATAAACAATACATTAAAATTCATTATGTCCTACAAATGTACAGTAAAGAGCATTGTATTATCAAATTCGAAAACTGACTTCTCTTTCAGAATTATGTATGCAAGCAACATGTCTAATTTGTCAAAAAAAATTGTTAAGTGAACTCTCCCTCAACCGACCTCACCCATTTTACCATTGATAGGCAAAAAAAAAGTTTTAAACTAAAGTACAAATGATAATAAAAGAGCCAATTTTTGTTGTCAGTATTACATAGATCTTAATGTTTTAGTAAATTATTGTCCCCATTTTTTCTGTATGAGAAGTATCTCAGATATTCCACAGGACTTCCTGAATTTTTATGAATGGTTTGAAGTATTCTTCCATGAATTGTGTACCCCCATTTGATGGTTGAGTTTACCTCTGTTTGATTTAATACATACCCCGTTCTTGATGAACGGATTAATCTGATGAACCGTGACGACCTGAGCCATCATCCTACACAGCCAGCCAGGGTCAATAAAATACAGATCTCTCAGATTCAGGGCCTTCTCTGGGTAATGTAACAGTACTCCACACTCATGTAAAAACTTCACAGCCTGTAAAATATCATTTGATGTGTACAATCTTAAAGTTACAATTCACATAGAAATTTCACAACTTATTCATATAAAAATCTTACAGCCCATGAAATAAAGTTCATGTAGAAACCACAAAAACCTGTGAAATAAAGTTCACAGATAGAGAAATCTGAAAGACTGTTTAATAATAAGTCTCACAAGCTGTGGAATAAAGTTTACATGGCAGTCTACCACTATGTATGTATTCAGAAAAAATGCTGTCAGATATTTAGCAAGAATAAATAGACAAATCTCAAGATTATACAATTATGGACTGTTTAGAAGGGAGACATCACCAATTATCAGGTCTGAGTAGGGTTGTCACCCGAGGGCGCTTGCGCCCGAGGGTGACAACCCTACTCAGACCTGATAATTGGTGATGTCTCCCTTCTAAACAGTCTATAATAGTTTTATTATCCTGAAGAATATACAATTATCAATTACGTAGAGTAGAAAATTGTAATCAAACCTCTTGTTTTCTTCTACTCTGCTCTGATACCATACTTTCAAAATATGTCAACAGACAACTTTGACGTCATCGTTAGAATTTATTGTTTACCGATCCCGCATATTTATTAATTGTACTTATAAATAAGAGTTATCTCTCTTAAATCACTGTAGTTTCATTCAAAGGGCGACAACACAGTTGTATCCCTGCATGCTTGCTTACGCTATTTCATTGTCATCTGAAGGGAGATAACAGTTGTCACCCTGCGCGTGAGGGAGACATCACGAGTTGTCTCCCTGCACGTGACCTGCTCTGAACCAATCAGATTGACTGTCTAATTCTGAAGGATAATAAAATATATTATCCTGCTTCCACCAAATTTGTAGATTACTGGATAAAAACTTATCACATGACACCCCAAAGTCTCCAAATTACGTCTCAGCTGTCAAGTAGTATTATTAAAATCGGGCACGCAATTCCGTTCAAAGCTTTGTTATTGAAAATAAATATGGCGGCTATAAAGAAACAGTTAGCCTAGGTAGTAGTATGGTAGTTAAACTTCTTGTTTCTTGTTATGATATATTATATTTGATTGTTATTTAATTAAAACTAGATATTTTGATAAATTGCTCAAAGATTTTTTATTATTTTAAAAGGTCTTCTGCAGGATAAATGCTTTGGCCTCACCCAATGCAGAATTCCATTTCACACCCTGTATGACACCGTATTAGGTCCCTAACTGACTGTGTAACTATCATTATTCACCAAACCTACTTAATATTGGGGGACAGGTACCTGGTGTAGCTCCTCTTCGTCCAGGTCCAAGGCAGCTTCCTGTACAATCTTCAGCATCTGGTTGTGTTTTATCACAGGGAAAGAGCTCTCTAGCCTCTTGGTCTCTGCCAGTAGATCAGCCAATTTCTAAATTATCAACACACAAAGCAAATGTATCATTTGGCTATATAACGAATATTTTTTTAATTTATCTATGACAATTTCTGGCTTTATACTTATTTTCGGCTCGGTGGTCAAACGCAGTGAAAAGGTTTGATGTTTATATTCCAGTATAAAAGGGTCAACAGAAATCAGTGTTTTCAGGTCTGTGTTTCTACAAGACTCTGGAAAGAGCCATAGCTGAAGGTTAAGCTAGAAAATGTGTAAAATGTGAAGATAAACAGCCATCAATCTCATAATCCAGTAAGAAAACAAACCATAAACAGGACTGAAAGCCTAAAACATGGACCCCTGGGAACACTAGAAGTGGGATTAATTCTCTCACACTCCCGTAGGTAATGAGGGTATAAATGAGGGTATTGACCTAATGCACTGAAATATATCTAGGGAATCACAGGCAAGTTTGCTGGTAAAGATTCATAGCTAATTATAGTATCAAAGTTTTTAAGGGTACCCAAGTTACAATTAGTGTAACTTTTGTAAATTTTTGTTTTGACCCTTGTATATATCAAGAAATTAACACAATTATTTTTAGAGTTATCAAAAAGAAAAATGTTAAAAATTTAGAAATTTCTTAAATAATCAACACATATCAATATATCTTACCACATAACTGGCAGGAACTTTCTGTCCCATCACAAACTGACCCCTGACTTTGTAACTGAAGAAGTATGAATATAATAAGTGTAAAAACAGTCTTATTATGAATTAGTTTCATCATCTGTTTTATTGAATGTTTTACCTTAATCTGTAAAAAAAGTATTACTACAGTAACTACATTATCAAAAATTCCCTTTAGTCAATCATAGCTTATGATTTTTTATCAAGACAAGGTTATAATATCGTCAAAATATTTTTTTTTTCTATCATACATAATTGTTCCCGAGAATTGAAATAGTAGGAGACTTAATAAAAATAGAGGGGGATCTAGGGTTTCCTTCCCTCAGCAGGGAATGGAGGGAAATACCAAAACAAGAGGCCCAAGGGCCTTATAGGTCACCTGAGTATTGTCCAACAACTTTCAAACAATTAAATTTGGTTCGTACGTGTTTTAAACCAGAGGCTGTGAAATTCGCAATTCACAATTTTGAAAGAGGCACCATTGCTTATCATAATAATAGACTTAGCATGCTTACTCTATTTACTTAATACCCAGAGGTAGATCAGAGTAACAATGAGAAAATACACTTCCACTTTATAACCAGTTGTGCACCACATCCCAAAGGAACCACTGACCCTGGGGCCACATATTTCAAAATTTTGCAAATTTTATCATAAAATGGTTGATTAATACCAAAGAGCAGATTTCAAAGCATTATTATGTTCCCCAAACGGAGTTTGGGAACATATTGTTTTTACTCGGTTTCTTATTAAGGTCTTCCGTCTTCAGCGGAAGACCTTCTTGTTATTCTTAGGTTTCTTTTCCACTATTTTTATTATTATTATTATTGTTTTTTTTTCTTACCGATTTTGTGCACGCGATTTCTCGAAAACGGCTGGATAGATTTTCATGAAACTTTCAGGACTGATAGAACATCAAACAAAGCTGAAAGTAATTTTTTTGTTTTGATGACGTCACTTCCGGTTTTGAGATTTCCGCGATTTAGTGATTTTCAGGGGGTCTCATTGTCCATCATTTTTTTCGAAAATGCCTTAAAACAGAAACATAAGATTTTCAGCGATGATAGAGCAAGGTGTGCTCTTTTGTCACACACCATTCTCTTTTTCCGGAAGCGCCGCACGTCGGCGCTCGCTATGGCTCGAAAAAAGTTCTACCAGGGACTCAGAAATTTTTAACACCTTTTCTGCAATATCTTTTTACATGTTAACAATTTGTAAAGACATATAGAACAAAAGTTGTAGAGAATGTCACGATCTTTCGAAATATATCAACGATAAGGGGCTGGCCCCTATAATAAAGGGCCAAAAGGGGCCAACAGTTTTTCCTTAATATCTCAAAAAGTATTGAGAATTTGTAATACGTCAAAGAAGCAAAGTTGTTCAAAATTTCAAGCTTTATCTAATGAAGTCGTCAAAATAGGTCCGACGACGTCACTTCCGGTCAAACCGGAAGTAGTCAAAAATTGCATATTTTTGCTGTTCTTGACAGGTTTATGGGCAACATATGTTACTGGAAGCTTAAATCTTAACTTTCCGTCCGTCGACGTCACTTCCGGTCAAACCGGAAGTAGCCAAAAATAGCTTATTTTGAAGGTTTTAATGGAAAATTGAAATTATAAAGTCACTAGAGACTACTTAGCTCATTGCTTTCTTTTGTTCACGTCACTTCCGGCACTTCTGGTCAAAACCGGACGGAAGACCTACTCGTTGCTTTGCAACGAGCTCGGCTCTAGTTATTATTATTATTCTTTTTTTTCTTCTTTGTTCTCCGGTACTTTTTTTGTCCGCGAGTGTTCTCAGAAACTGTTCACCCAACTAAGTTAAAACCTTTTTAGGGTTAATAGGTGTCAAGTGTAGGTGTGCACAACGAAGGTCATTTTGCGCGCATACGCATGCACGTGCGTGCGCGTGAAATGAGTGAAATGACTGATATACTTATTATAGCCATAACTTTTACATTTTTTATTGAAATGCTTTGAAACTCATTCTATAAGGATATATTAATAGTCTAGATAATATGACATGGTCAAATTAGCACGAACTCACGTGCATGCACGTGCGCTTCCCTCTGATTGGCTGAAACAAAGATTTCAATATCTCTTTTGTTTTTTGACGAAATGCTTTGAAATTTTAAACATAGTCATGCATTAGGATATACTACAATATAATATATAGCAGGTATCATGAAAACACGCGCATGCACGTGCGCTGCAATCTGATTGGCTTAAACTTTAAATGGGTATAACTCCTTTGATTTTCAACCAAACAGGATGGGATTTAGAACATAGATAGACATAGTGGATTCCTACAAAAAGGTAAGGTCATCATGCACATGCATGCACGTGCATGCACATGAGATGGATAAAATCAAAAATACACTTGATGTAAATACTTTTGGATTAAATGCTTTATTATTTTTTAAATTAATACTTTTGGATTAAATGCTTTATTATTTTATTAAATTAATGTATCAATATCTGTGATAAGTGAAAAATTAATAGGTAAACAATAAAATATTTATTCTAAGCTTTCTTACAAAATAAATTCCATTACATAGAATATGGTCATTATCCATTGCCACATGCATTTACATGTGCACGCGTCAAGGTTTTACCATTTATTAGTAGATAAATTGAAATAGTATTAATTTTAATTGTGCTTATATTTATTTAAGTGTAAAATGAGTGAAATAAAATTTGAATATACTAAATAAACCGATAGTCATTACTATATATTTTTTTATTTTATTTAATTATAATACCGGTCAAACGAATTAGCGCTAACGATTGTTAACAGAAAAGTGTAAAAGGATTTACACTGTGTGTACACACAAAGGTTTTAACACCTATGTTGGTTTAATACCCGCAGGGCATGATTAGCAAATCCACGTGCCGTTATTGGGTATTAGTGTTACACATCATTGAACAAACAAAGCCATGAAATTCATAATGACGGTCAAATTGTGAATGTACCGGTACTCTCAATTAAATATATAATTAAACTTATAGCGTGGTAATATTATTTCAATTCTTTACTGTTGTTTTATATATACATTCAATGGTCGTTTGCGGGTTTTAGCAAATCCCTGAAGAACAAATTTGAAAATGGCGGACATCGAAGCGATTGTCGTCCACCGGTAAATAATGTCTGAATAAAATATATAAGAATGTGTCCAAGTTGTTCTGAATTATTATTCTTTGTTCTCGGGTATTTCCCGAATTATAGCTGTAAAATAAGAACGTATTTACGTGTTATTTATGCCTCTGGTTTAACAACAGTATGAAACTACGGAGGCATTGAACAGGCAAGTTGGAGAAAAATAAGTACCGAGGGTAGTAACACATTTAACTACATTTTTAAAAAAACTTTATTTAAATGCTGTACTCATTAAAATACCTGTTTGTTTTCTTGATACGTTCATGTCACGGAATAACCCCGGTAATTCTAGAGGTTTACCTGTTCTGATACGTTGTATCTGCGTAAGAATCTTTAGAAAACGGGAAACAAAGCCTCGTCCTATATAGTAAGTTCGTCCTATCTTAGAATTTTTCAAAAATTAAGGCTGAAAATGAGCCTTTCGACCTATATACCCCATCGACCTATGACCCGAAAATTACGGTATATAGATAGTGTAGACAAGAGAATATGGTCATTACGCACATGCATTTACATGTGCACGCGTGCAAATGCTAAAATTTGAATATACTCGGTATACTTCAGGGAAACGTTGTTAAAGTGTAAAATGCATAGAGTTTGTCGTGTTTAATGAAGCTTAAAGGGAGTATGGCACCAAAAGGGAGTTGGGGAGCGTTTGGGGAACATCTGTAACGGTTCCCGTTACAATTAGCCCTAGTTTATTTTGAGACTATGTACCCCCCCCCCCACCCAGGGAGGGGGGCATAAAAATTAACCATTTTGCTAGATGCACCTTTCTTCATCATAAATATATATACTTGGATCATTGGCATAAAACCCAGGAGCAAAGGAAAGATTTTCAAAGAATTAATGTATTTTCACTATATAATCAATAGAGCCCCGTCCTAACACCAGAACCTATGACCCTGGGGCCACAAAATTCACAATTTTGGAAAAAGCACTCCTGCTCATCATAACTATATACTTAGTTAGTTTATTTGATACGCAGTAGCAGAGAAGAAAATTTTCAAAGAATAAATGCATTTTCACTATATGATCAATAGAGCCCCGCCCTAACACCAGAAAACTGACCCTGGGGCCATAAAATTCACAATTTTGGAAGAGGCACTCTTGCTCTACATAACAGTTACTATGTACTAACATAGTTTATTTAATAACCAGAAGCAGAGAAGAAGATTTTCAAAGAATAAATGCATTTTCACTATATGACCAATAGGGCCCCGCCCTAACACCGGAACCCCTGATCCTGGGGCCACAAAATTCACAATTTTGGAAGAGGCACTTTTGCTCATCATAACTATGTACTTAGTTTGTTGACTCAATACCCAGAAGCAGAGAAGAGGATTTTCAAAGAATAAATGGATTTTCACTATATAACCAATAGAGCTCCGCCCTAACACCAGAACCCCTGACCCTGGGGCCATAAAATTCAAAATTTTGGAAGAGGCACTCTTGTTCATCATAACTATGTGCTTGGTTAGTTAATTTAATACCCAGAAGCAGAGAAGAAGATTTTCAAAGAAATCATGCATTTTCACTATATAATCTATATAGCCCCGCCCTAGCACTAGAACCCCGACCCCAGGGCCATGAATTTCACAATTTTGGTAAAGGACTCAATGCTGATTACAATCATGCAAACAGTTTGACTACTTGATGTCCAGGAGTAAAGAAGAAGATTTTAAAAGATTGCATTAATTTTAGTGGTTTTGGCCCCACTCCTCAGGCCCCAGGGGGACAGGGACCATAAAATTCAAAATTTTTGTTCCCCTTTACCCATGGATGCTGTATACCAAATTTAGTTGAAATTGGTTGAGTGGTTCCAGAGAAGAAGCTAAAAATGTTCAAAAGTTTACAAACGACGTACGGCGTACGACGACGGAAAAAAAGAGATAGCAATAGGTCACCTGAGTTTACTCAGGTGACCTAATAATCAGATGATAACATCATTATATGCAAAAAAAATATTCCCCAGCCCACGCGCCTTACGTACAATCCTGTGACTGGAAATTATGTTTATTTAAAACGTTCATTACATCAACACATACAGTATATACTCACTCATCTACAACTCTTTTGATAGATTCCCTCAGCTGTTCTATTTCTCCATTTTCTGTGGTACAATTCACTGAGGCAAAATGCTTGACTTCTGGATATCCTGCAACAAGAAATACCACACATTTTAAAAAGAAACAAAAGAGACAAGATTAAGAACTAAGAGTTTTCTTTCTAAGAAATTAATGAGTGATTCGACTTTTTTCATGAAATTCGGTTAATGGTGTATAAATTCTTGAATAAGGCCATTCCAAGTTTTTTCTCCGTTTAGCGTCCACCCATCTTTCAAAAACCTACCTACCTATTCGCAAAAAACACACAAGCCAAAACATAAAACACAGTCTTAAAAGTCATAAAAATGACGCCCCTCAAATGATTTGATCTAACTAAACTGCTTTAATAGAAGAAATATTTATTCTTAAGCATAAACGAGGGATTAAATGCTTAAAATACACCCAATATAACTTACTGTACAGAATTATTTAGAGAAATTGACAAAATTAAAAAATTTCGACTAAATTAATCAATTTCAGGACTCCTGATGTTGTGTGTTTTTTCTTATATGGGGTTTCAAAAACCAAGGCGCACGCGGACGCTAAACATAGAAAAAACTTGGAATGGCCTAATGCAAATATGCATTAAGAAACATGAGAAATATGAGAAGAAACTTTTCTTAGGCACATTATCTCCCTTTATTTATTGAAATATGAAGTTCTACTGAATAAAAAGTTGTGTCAGTACATGACTGTTATGGTTGCTTCGCATATTTTTGTTCATATTGCAATTATGTGCTAATCTCCCTTAGATCTATATGACATTGTAAATATGCTAACCTCCCTTAGATATAAAATTGTTAAGGAGCTAACCTTCTTACGATATAACCACGTTAATGTCCTAACCTTCCTTATAATTAGATATGACATAGTTAACATAATTAATGTGCTAATATCCCTTAGATATTACATAATGTGCTAACCTCCCTTAGATATGACTTAGCTAATGTGCTAACCTCCCTTAGATATGGCATAGTTAATGTGATAACCTCCCTTAGAGATGACTTAGCTAATGTGCTAATCTCCCTTAGATATGGCATAGTTAATGTGCTAACCTCCCTTAGATATGGCATAGTTAATATGCTAACCTCCCTTAGATAGGACATAGATAATGGTCTAACCTTCTTTAGATATGACATAGATAATGGTCTAACCTTCTTTAGATGTGACATAGATAATGGTCTAACCTCCCTTAGATAGGACATAGATAATGGTCTAACCTCCCTTAGATAGGACATAGATAATGGTCTAACCTCCCTTAGATAGGACATAGATAATGGTCTAACCTCCCTTAGATAGGACATAGATAATGGTCTAACCTTCTTTAGATATGACATAGATAATGGTCTAACCTCCCTTAGATAGGACATAGATAATGGTCTAACCTTCTTTAGATATGACATAGATAATGGTCTAACCTTCTTTAGATATGACATAGATAATGGTCTAACCTTCTTTAGATGTGACATAGATAATGGTCTAACCTTCTTTAGATGTGACATAGATAATGGTCTAACCTCCCTTAGATAGGACATAGATAATGGTCTAACCTCCCTTAGATAGGACATAGATAATGGTCTAACCTTCTTTAGATATGACATAGATAATGGTCTAACCTTCTTTAGATATGACATAGATAATGGTCTAACCTTCTTTAGATGTGACATAGATAATGGTCTAACCTTCTTTAGATATGACATAGATAATGGTCTAACCTCCCTTAGATAGGACATAGATAATGGTCTAACCTCCCTTAGATAGGACATAGATAATGGTCTCCCTTAGATAGGACATAGATAATGGTCTAACCTTCTTTAGATGTGACATAGATAATGGTCTAACCTTCTTTAGATGTGACATAGATAATGGTCTAACCTTCTTTAGATAGGACATAGATAATGGTCTAACCTTCTTTAGATATGACATAGATAATGGTCTAACCTTCTTTAGATGTGACATAGATAATGGTCTAACCTTCTTTAGATGTGACATATTTTATGGGCTAATCTCCTTTAGATATGACATAGATAATGTGTAACCTACCTTAGATAAGGCATAGTTGAATCATTACAATAATATGCTAACCTCCTTTAGACATGACACATTGAAGTCTTTCGACCATCATGTTCCTCACTTCTTCTCGTTTCTCCTCGGGGATCTTGTCTAAGTGGGTCATCACCACGATAACGGGACACCCTGGGGCTCGGGCCTGGATGTTACACAACCAGGGCTTCAGCTGATCTATCTCAGAGGTACCACCTTTTATATTACACACCACCTACAGAGTACAAACTTTAATGCTAAACACAGGAAAATATAGTAGCCCCAAGCTTATAAACTTATACCGAGAACAGACACCATGTATAGAGGCTGAATTTGCTTCACTTTGAATTTTCAACTGCATGACTACAAGAAAACATCACTTATCATTTCCACGAAAATACCAAACAACTTAGGTCTGAAATTTTTCTTAAATTATTTTTTGCTCCAGCTTAATATGTCTTAACATGTCAGAAATGATAGTCAAAGATGCTAGAATTCTGTTCTTATCCTAGCTGTTAAATTGATTTGCTTAGATTGATTGATTGATTATATGTTGTTTAACATCCCTCCTGAGAATTTTTCACTCATATGGAGATGCCACCTGTCGGTGGAGAGCTGCAAATTTTGTTTTATACTCGGCACTCAAGCCATTGAGCAGGGAGGGATCTTTTTCGTGCCAGCACCTACTGTAAAATGGGACTTTGGATTACACAGTCTCATCCGAAGGACTGGTCTCCACGTCCCACAGTGGGATTCGAACCTGCTACGTAAGGATCAACTCCTTACTTTGCCACTCTAGAGCAGACACTCTAACCATTGGCCACGCGGGCGTCGATTTGCTTTGAAGAGATGATCAGAGAAGATGGAGCTGATACAAGAAGATAACACTGTACCAGATAGAGAGCTCTGTTAGACAGGTAACATTGATGTGTGCTGTAGAACTCTTCCTGTCCCGCAAAATCCCAGGTATTCAGGGTGTACGTTACCGTGCCCTTGTTTTCGCGACGTCTCTCATACCTAAAAGAAACAGATTAACACCTGTTTAAATCAGTCTGAAAATACCAGGTGTACAATTTTAAGTTTGAAAAACTAGAAATATGTCTGTAGGACATGAAGGCCCTACCCAGGGTTCATTGATTATGCAGCATGAAAATTTTCATAGATTCATGTATATGAATTTTAATGAAAATATTTTGAATAGTTTATTTTAAATTCACTCTTACACATATCAAATAAGTCACAAGTCACTGGGGAGGTCAAGAAAATATAATTTGACAGAGAAACAGTTAATAAATTCTCATCAAATAATATATCATTGCATTAGCTTTTGAAACTGAGCAAAATGCAAATGCAACAACACAAGGTCAAAGGAAAAGTCATGGTCAAAAAGTGTTCATATATCCTTCAACAGTTTCTTTAAAACTGAGCTTAACACTATAATTTAAGGAAAACCAAGTGTTTACAATGAAATATGCTAGCATCTTCCATGCAACTGTAATCAATATAGGGCATAGAGTGGAAATAAATGACCTGCTCTAAAGATTTAAACCTGAGAAACCGAAGTTAAGTGCACAGCATAAGCTCCCCGGACTTTGTAAAGGTTAGCAATATATGTCTAAATAGAGATAGATAGAAAACAAGAGGCCCAAGGGCCTTGAATCGCTCTTCTGATAAATTGTACAATCTATCACTTCTTTTTGAAGCCTCTAACCTTAAGTATCCTAAGACCCAAGTTGCATCAACTTACAAAGTTTGATGATTCTTAGCCAATAATGACTGAAAATATTTTTAATAATAAAGCTATAAAAAACCATAAGTACATCATAGTGACCTATATTAAGATTGAAGTTTTCTGAGGACTCAAGATGCATTAATAAACAAAGATTGAAGATTCTGAGCCAATAAGTATTTGAGATATTTAAAAGTAGGTCACCGTGACCTACTTTTTTGTCTACATTCTTTGAAAACCCAAGATACATCAACTGACAAAGTTTGATGATTCTAAGCCAAAAAGTACCTGAGATATTCAAAAGTAGGTCACCATGACCTACTTTTTGATCGACATTCTCTAAAAACCAAAGATGCATCAACAAACAAAGTTTAGTGATTCTAAACCAGTTAGTACCATAGATATTTAAATAAAGCCATAAAATGTCGAAAATGCATCAACTGACAAAGTTTGATGATTCTAAGCCAATAAATACCTAAGATACTAAAATATAGCCATAAAATGTTGAAACTAGGTCATCGTGACCTATATTTTGGTCGACATTTTTCAAAGTCACAAGATGCATCTGCTGACCAAGTTTGATGATCCTAGATCTGAAGGTAATCAAAAGATGCCTTTTAAACAATTCGAAAATATGTTTTAAGGTCCCAAGATGCATCAATTAACAAGATTTGATGATTCTAAACCTCTCAGTGTCTGAAATAATTGGATTAAATGTTTTAAGAAGAATTAGTCATAAAGTTCAAAAAGTAGGTCACGGTGACCTACTTTTAAGTTGACGTTGTTCAAGGACCCAAGATGCAACAACTGACAAAGTTTGATGATCATAGGCCTTAAAGTGCCCGAAATATGCCTTCAAATCAATTTGAAAACAAATGCCCACAAAATTTAAAAAGTAGGTCACTGTGACCTACTTTTGAGTTAACATGATTTGAAGTCCTGAGATGCATCAATTTACAAGATTTGATGATCCTAGTCCTAATAGTAAGCAAAATATAAACATTTTTATTATTTGTAAATTTAGGTCAACTTTGAAGTGACCTTGAGACCACGCCCTTTGACCCAGGGTCATGCCTTGAACAATTTTTAATCTTCAACATATCCTGATCCTTGTATGTAAGTTTGGTGAAAATCAGCCTGGTGGTTCTGGAGAAGAAGATTTTTTAGCAACCAGTACTTTTGGTTTTGTTTTCCTGATTATCTCCCCTTGTTTAAGGGTCCCAACCCTTATTTTAGTAAAAAGGGTAGCCCTTGGGCCAAGGATACCCTGTGACAAATTTGACACTGATTGGCCAAGGGGTTCTTGACTTATGGCCCATATTCTAAAAAGTTAACGCACACCGCACACCGCACAAATGGCCATAGCATTGGCTCTTTGAGCCTTTGGCTCAGAAGAGCTAAAAAGGACAGCCAGACAAGGTTTGATATCTAAACTTGAATTTCGTTTCTTTAACTATCCCCTTGCATAGGAATTTGATGGTGGTACAGCAATAACCTTGTCTGGCCGGAGAACTTATACTCTGCAAGGGGATAGTTAAAGAAACTTAAATTCAAGTTTAGATATCAAACTGTTTTGTTCTGATCAATGTTATTAAAATTTGTTCAAGATACCAATACCCTATAAATAACTCTGGCAGGTATTTAAATCACATGATCTGACAGGGAGGACAAGGAAGTAAATTATTGCTTAGAGTCACTAGTTGAGGTTGACACCTTGGATTTACAAGTGAGATCTTACGACAATTTTAAGAGTTAAAATATTTCTTCAGATATGATGCTCTAGGTATATAGTTCAATAAATGGTTTATTCAAAGTTTAAAACTTTATATCATATATAATATTCATCTTTCAACAGCTTAGGCTTTTACCACATATACCTTATCTTTCAATGACAGAAATTTACAAACGAAGGATTATATATTTTATTTTCCTTTTTTAATAAAATCAGATTTTTAAAAGTTGTTGTCAAAGATAACATTCTTTCAATTTGGTGTAAAAGTCTTTTCTTCAATAATTTCATGAATCCCACACTTTGTATGTGAGATTGGTGTGTCTATATAGGGGGCAACATTTCACCACAAATACTAGCTGTGTTCTTGTGCATTATTGATAACAAAACCCTAAATTGATGTATTATTTAACTGTCAGTGTATTACACAAAAGTACTGATTTTATTAGAACTGGAAATAAAAAGAACTGAATGCATTCTCAATTCTGAATGTAATTCCCTTTAAATTCTAAAAAGCTGATTTTCACAAACTGTAATCAGTAAACAACACACTCTCATTTACACAGCATTGGATTGCCTGCTTACACAAGTGCTTACACAAGTGAGTTCCTGTAAAATATGACAAATCAATCCCCCTTTGTTGCTTGATTATTAATCTTCATCATTCTCTGATTAAAATGCCTCATATATACAATGTACATGTATCATAAATTAAACCCTTTTATGCTTTTGAATAAATTAAACAACAGTTCCATTCTTAACTTTGATGCTGTTTATTATTAAGGAGTTTCTCTCAATAGTTTTGATCATAGTACAGTAAAACACACTTAAAGCTAATTTTTAACACACTTGTAAAGAATTGATGCTTATAGCAAAGAGTTTTCATTCCATGAGGGTTTTAAATATATTGTGAAACTAAAGGATAAAACCAATTTTGTTTTAAAACAGACAAAATATCGTGTCTCTAGTACTTTCTTATTAGTGTGTTTATATAACCACTTCAATTTCTTTCTAGCATCATCTTCACCATGTGACTGATATGGAGCTGCAATGCAGTGAACAAGACATTCTCCTCTGTGAGCTGTGTCATACATTTAAAATACAGAGTCATTGTGAACTTTGTCAGATTAACCTGTGTAAGGCCTGTGTAGGGGAACATCTCTCTGATCCATCAAAAAGACACAATGTTGTGCTGTACCAACACAGAACTTCTGCTTCCAACAACCAAAAACGTCCAAACCACACCCAAAGCCAAAATGTATCCTGTCCTCCAATCAAACCATTGCTTGACAAAGCAGAGATCATCACCACAATAGACATTGGGTATAATCTATACAGTGTAACCTGCCTAAGTGATGAAGAAATCTGGACAAGTGGTTATGACAAAGACATAAAACTCTACAACCTCCAGGGTAAACTACTGAAGTCAATCGAAACCAAATCAGGGAACTGGCCACAGGACATAGCAGTGACAAAGAGTGGAGATTTAGTTTATACTGATCCTAAAACAAGGACTGTAAACCTGGTCAAGAATCATCTGATACATGTAGTGATCAGACAACAGGACTGGACGCCTTGTCATGTCTGTACTACCTCCTCTGGTGACCTCCTGGTTACCATGGTCAGTGATGAAGAAGAACAATATAAAGTTGTCCGTTACTCTCACACACACACACACACACACACACACACACACACACACACACACACACACACACACACACACACACACACACACACACACACACACACACACACACACACACACACACACACACACACACACACACACACACACACACACACACACACACACACACACACACACACACACACACACACACACACACACACACACACACACACACACACACACACACACACACACACACACACACACACACACACACACACACACACACACACACACACACACGCGCGCGCGCGCGCGCGCGCGCGCGCGCGCGCGCGCGCGCGCGCGCGCGCGCGCGCGCGCGCGCGCGCGCGCGCGCGCGCGCGCGCGCGCGCGCGCGCGCGCGCGCGCGCGCGCGCGCGCGCGCGCGCGCGCGCGCGCGCGCGCGCGCGCGCGCGCGCGCGCGCGCGCGCGCGCGGCTCCACAGAGCAACAAACCATTCAGTTTGATAATGAAGGTAAGCCTCTGTATTCATTTGGCATGTATGGATACATTAAATACATCAGTGAGAACAGGAACCTGGATATCTGTGTGTCTGACAGTGGAGCCCGTGCAATAGTGGTGGTCAATCAGGCAGGAAAACTCAGATTTAGATACACCGGTCATCCATCTACTACCAAAGGATTATTTAAACCACTGGGCATCACCACAGACAGCCAGAGTCACATCCTGACGGCTGACTCATATAACCACTGTATCCACATCCTAGATCAGGACGGACAGTTCCTCCGTTACATTGATAATTGTTATCTATTTGGTCTATATGGATTATGTGTGGACACCAGAAACAACCTCTTTGTGGCTGAGACAGACAGTGGTAAAGTGAAGAAGATCAGATACATGTAGGGGATTTAATATCATGCAGTGAATTAAAACTACAGAGGAGATAACCACACAGTGCATTAAAATTGATGTAGGAGATAACCATACAATGAAATAGAATTAGCTTAACTAGATAACCATGTGGAGAATAAAATTATCATGTCTGCAGACCTGTTTACCCTTATCGGTTGTCTCTCAGTATTTTTTATTAGATTTGTCCGTGAGATTTCGCATTTATAGTGGCTTGGTTGGTGTTTTCGTGTGGAGGAGGAGGGGGGGGGGGCACCAGAGTCCTATGTAGAGTAGTTTTACATTATTGTGATTAGGATCTAACTTCCAATCCTGAATTATGACCCCATACAGTGGTTGGTTAGTGTGTGTGTGTGGGGGGGGGGGGGGGCTTTGTAGAGTGGCTTTAGTAACTTCTTCCAGCCCTGAACTATGTCCTCTACAGTGGCTTGGTTAGTGTGGAAAGGGGGGGGGGGGGGGGCTTTGTAGAGTGGCTTTAGTAACTTACTTCCAGTCCTGAACTATGACCCCAACAGTGGCTTGGTTGGTGTGGGGGGTCTTGTACTTCTTCATCAGAGCCCTAAGCAGAGTGGTTTTACCCCGTCCAGCATACCCAATAACCATCAGCTTCATTCTGTAGTACTCCGTTGCCTATCATAGCAAAAAATAGTCATGTCAAACACGTACACATTTATAACAAGAGGCCCAGGGGCCACAGCGCTCACCTGAGCACATCGGGCTTGAATTTACTCCCCCCCCCCTCCAGGCGGTCATCATTTGAACAAACTAGAATCTACACTACCTGAGGATGATTCCATATAAATATCACTAATCATATTAAGCTTTGAAGTACTTGAAAAGAAGATTTTAAAAGGTTTCCCTATATATCCTTATGTAAAAGGTAATAATGTTGAACAAACTTGAATCTGCACTTCCTGAGGATGATTCCACATGAGTTTCATCTTTCCTGGCCCAGTGGTTCTTGAGAAGAAGATTTTTAATGATTTTTCCAATATATTCCTATGTAAAACTTGTGTGCCAAGTTATATTGAAATATGAATCTACACTACCTGAGGATGATTCCACATGAGTTTCATCTTTCCTGGCCTATTTTGAGAAGAAAATTTTAAAGAAATTTCTATATATTTATGTAAAACAGGGTCAGCCATTTTGGCCAACACCTTTCCCCGGGGGTCATGATTTGAACAAAAATCTGCACTATACAGATGATTCCACATGAGTTTATCTTTCCTGGCCCAGAGGTTCTGGAGAAGAAGATTTTTAAAGATTTTTCCTATATATTCCTATGTGTGCCAAGTTATATTGAAATCAAACCAATCTACACTACCTGAGGATGATTCCACATGAGTTTCATCTCTCCTGGCCCAGTGGTTCTGGAGAAGAAGATTTTAAAAGATTTTTCTATATATTTATGTAAAACAATGCCAACACCCTTGCCCCGGGGGTCAATATTTGAACAAACTTGAATCTACACTACATAAGGATGATTCCACATGAGTTTCATCTTTCCTGGTCTAGTGGTTCTGGAGAAGAAGATTTTAAAAGATTTTTCCTATATATTCCTATGTAAAATATGCCAAGTTATATTGACAAACTTGAATCTACACTACATAAGGATGATTCCACATGAGTTTCATCTTTCCTAGCAGTGGTTCTGAGAAGAAGATTTTTAAAGATTTTTCCTATATATTCCTATGTAAAACTAGGGTCGGCCATTTTGGCCCCACCCTTGCACCGGGGGTCATGATTTGAACAAACTTGAATCTACACTACCTGAGGATGATTCCACATGAGTTTCATCTTTCCTGGCCCAGTGGTTCTGGAGAAGAAGATTTTTAATGATTTTTCCTATATATTCCTATGTGTGCCAGGCCCCACCCTTGCCCCGGGGGTCATGATTTGAACAAACTTGAATCTACACTACCTGAGGATGATTCCACATGAGTTTCATCTTTCCTGGCCTAGTGGTTCTGGAGAAGAAGATTTTTAATGATTTTTCCTATATATTCCTATGTAAAACGGCCATTTTGGCCCCACCCTTGCCCCGGGGGTCATGATTTGAACAAACTTGAATCTACACTACCAGGATGATTCCACATGAGTTTCATCTTTCCTGGCCTAGTGGTTCTGGAGAAGAAGATTTTTTAAAAATGCCATTTATTTTTAACAAATTCATGATTATCTCCCCTTGGAAAAGGGCGTGGCCCTTCATTTGAACAAACTTGAATTCCCTTTACCCAAGGATGCTTTGTGCCAAGTTTGGTTGAAATTGGCCCAGTGGTTCTTGAGAAGAAGATGAAAATGTGAAAAGTTTACGACGACAACAACGACAACGACAACGACGACGACAACGACAGACAACGGACAAATTTTGATCAGAAAAGCTCACTTGAGCCTTCGGCTCAGGTGAGCTAAAAAGCAAAAAATAGTAATGTCAAACACATTTATATCAAAGCAAAAAAAGTCAGTTTAAACATATATACATTTATATCAAAGCAAAAAATGGTGATGTCAAACAAGTGAAACAACTGTACATTACCTCCCCATCTTTTAAAAGATTCTAAAATTAATGATACTAAAGTCCTGTCAATGTTACCCACTGTTCATAAGAATTTATTGTGCGAGCATAAAATTTTGAATGATGAACACATACTTAAACATGTGAATGACCTGTATCCACAGGCAGACATGATTAGGTATATATCCGGTAGATATAAAAAGGCAGATATGAACATTGGAAAATTAAAATGATGTTATCTTATCTCTATAGATCCACATGTACCCAATTCTACAGCATGATAAATTGACTGTACATGTACCTTTTTAAGCCGATTGTGGAGATACATGATCAGGTCTTTGACTTTTCCTTTCAACAATCCAGGGTCAAGGTCAAGGCTTAGTCCATGTAATGGAAACTAAAATGAAAATAAAAAAGCAGTTTAGTTTTACAATTACATACATATAAATGTTCAAGAGCATGTCATTGTTTCTGAAGACATAAAGAAGGCATATAAAAATAATTACAGGTACATTATATGAACAGAATACAATTTTTACCTCCCACATTTTTTGACATTTTCCGAGTTCATCTGGCAGTGTGGTCAGGGGATTGTAACTGACATCTAAAGATGTTAAAGAGCTCAACTGGCCAATGTCACTTGGTATCTGTAATTAAACAATTATCTTAATAAATATATGTACAACAATTCTTTCACTACATTATCAAAACGAAAATTTCAGATGATTTAAAATCCTTTTCTGTTTTCAAATAAAGTTGGTATACTTGACTAAGAAACCAAGGACTACTTGGTAAAATTTATTGAGAAGGCAATTAAAGTTTCAGAATTTCTCTCTGATTACCTCAGTCAAACCATTCCTGGATAAACTTAAACACTCAAGCTTGCTCCATGCTTTTCCTCCATCTAGATTTATCTGCAGAAGTAATGACTGTGTTTCAGAATTCAAGCAGCGACATTTTCAATATATAAATACATCTCATTATCAATTTGTAAATAACATATAGCTTAAGTTTACCATCAACTTGCAATGTACATGTATATACAATATAACATAATTGATAATTAATTCTGTTTTTCGTCACCTTGTTTATCTGGTTTCTGGACACTAGGACCTCTTTTAACATCTGGGACTTCCAGGAGATTGGTTTGGGCAGGCCTGTCAACTTGTTGTCACTTAGATCAAGGAATTTCAGCCTGTCAAGAGAATTCAAATATTGTATAAAAACACAAACCATTCGTAAATAAATATAAAATAAAACTTCAATGAGGAATCAAGTGGGTTGGTTGTTAGACCAAATATTGTGAAGTCCAAATTATTCTACATTATACGGTATAGCAGGTAATTCTAGCGGGGTGCTTATTCAGGCTTATTTTGGCATTTTGATGATGGTCCGCTAAAATTTTAAATCGCTAAAATAGTCAGTACTCTTCTAATTGTTCATCTGAAAAGAGCTGAAACCCTGCGTCGGCTATAATAATTATCACCAAAATTGATGGCACACCTTTGAGCAAGCAAAAAGCCATATTTTACACCCACCAAGAAAACACACTATACAGTAATTTACTCACATAGGTAGGTCCAGGATAAATTTGGGAATAAACAATGGATCCTTTCCAGTTATGTTGTTATCTCTCAGTTTTAGACGGGAAAGCTTGGGAAGATATTTGGCACGATTTTCACTGGGTAATTTCTCTGTAATTAATCAATATTATAAAGTTTAGAACATTTTTCTTTATATTACTTATTAAACAAACAATTTTGTTTTTTTACAAATATTTCAACTATAGAAAAATAAAAATGATTGTAAATAAAAATTAATTCAAGCTCAAAATTGGAATTCATACGATAAAGTGATGAAAGCTGCATTTTCCTGATCTTTAAAATGTTTGTAAGACTATATCTGTTTGTAAGACTATAACTGTTTGTAAGACTATATCTGTTTGTAAGACTATAACTGTTTGTAAGGCCACCCTTAAAAAAATGTTTGTTTGGAATTGCCGCCTGGGGGTTTTCAGACCCAGGAGGGAGGAAGGGATTTTATTATTTATTTTTTTTTTGGACAAATTAAAGCTAAATGATAAAAATATAAATCTCAATGAACAGTGGTAATTTCCATTTATTATGTTTATTTTTAAAAATCTTTATTAAACAATACTTTTATCAGTATATTTCGTAGCATTTCTCTTTGAAATTTACCCCTTTGTTAAGACAACGCTTGCAAACAGTTTGAATCATACAAAATTTCGTAGGAATAGCTGAGATGTTTTGTGGGAAACCTGGAGGGGGTGCTTTGTAAGTTCTCGAGTTTTCACCATGCATCAGTTTTAACATTACGTTTCAAAGACTTGTCATACTGACAGAAAACATTTTTCCTTTAGTGTTTGGGATAAAACGTTTCTGCTCCATGTAATTTTTAAGTGGGAACTGAACGATCATTTTTTTTCAACATGACGGATTTAACTTATCAAGTTCAATGTGCAATCTATTACATTAGCTCTTTCCAGGTATCGATGTATCATTCCATTTAATTTTTTATTCACCTTTTATTTTTATAGTAATGCATAAATGTTCTGCTCTTCAACACAACGCTTGAATGTTTCCAACATGGTCTGACATTTTGGCAGCTTTCAATTTTGTCAAATCGCCACCTATAATCGCTATATCATAAATACTATGAAGAAAGCGTTTGATTGACCCGAGTTGTTAAATTAATGTGATATCAAACCCGACTTTGAAAAGCTATTTCGACGAACAAACTAACTTGTACTAAACAATGTAAGACGATAAAACGATAAAAAAAGTATTGTTAATATTTTGACAATAAAATTTTTTGTGCGGGGGGTATTTTAATGAGGCGGGCGGCAATTCCAAACAAACTATAATTTTATTTTGGCCTAAGACTATATCTGTTTGTAAGACTATATTAAGACTAACAAACTATAATTTTATTTTGTAAGACTATAACTGTTTGTAAGACTATATTGTTTGTAAGACTATATCTGTTTGTAAGACTATATCTGTTTGTAAGACTATATCTGTTTGTAAGACTATATCTGTTTGTAAGACTATAACTGTTTGTAAGACTATATCTGTTTGTAAGACTATAACTGTTTGTAAGACTATATCTGTTTGTAAGACTATAACTGTTTGTAAGACTATATCTGTTTGTAAGACTATAACTGTTTGTAAGACTATATCTGTTTGTAAGACTATATCCGTTTGTAAGACTATATCTGTTTGTAAGACTATAACTGTTTGTAAGACTATAATTGTTTGTAAGACTATATCTGTTTGTAAGACTATATCTGTTTGTAAGACTATATCTGTTTGTAAGACTATATCTGTTTGTAAGACTATATCTGTTTGTAAGACTATAACTGTTTGTAAGACTATATCTGTTTGTAAGACTATAACTGTTTGTAAGACTATATCTATATCTGTTTGTAAGACTATATCTGTTTGTATATAACTGTTTGTAAGACTATATCTGTTTGTAAGATCTGTTTGTAAGACTATATAACTGTTTGTAAGACTATATCTGTTTGTAAGACTATAACTGTTTGTAAGACTATATCTGTTTGTAAGACTATAACTGTTTGTAAGACTATATCTGTTTGTAAGACTATGATAACAATTTGTAAGACTATAAATGTTTGTAAGACTATAAATGTTTGTAAGACTATAACTGTTTGTCAACTATCCTGTTACCGATTTGATTGAAGGCAGCCTCCAGTACTTCCAGCCTGGGACACTCACACAGGAAATTCTCCGGTATCTCAATTAACTTGTTCTTGTTCAGCTCAAGCTTCCTTAAGCTAACCAGTCCCAGAGTTCCATTGCCAGTCAATTTATCCACGTTATTACTGTAAGGAAATGTTATCAATTTATCCAGGTTATTACTGTAACGTTATCAATTTATCCAGTGAGACATTTACAAAATACAAATAAGTAAATATGCATGTAGAAAAGACCACAAATGTAGGGAATGCAAATTATTCTACAGTTAAATCTCATTTTCCCAAGTGGGACCAAGAAAGAAGTTAAGAGATATTGGAGGATTCAACATATCCATGGTACTTGAAATTTTAAGTTCAACTGTATTATAAAACACAAAGAAAGACCACTCATCAGTTATTCGGACGTCATGGGAAAATACCTGTTGATCTGGAGTACCTCAAGTCTTGTGAATACCCTCCCTATGTTATGTGGAATGTCAGACAAGGAATTATGGTTCAGGTGCAGCTCTATAAGGTTTGACTGCTTCTGAGAGTCCAATCTCCACTCACTTATCTACAAAACATTTAACATGTAAACTTAATACACTAAAAATAAAGAATACTGTATGCAGTGTTATCTACAAAACATTTAACATGTAAACTTAACACACTAAAAATAAAGAATACTGTATGCAGTGTTATCTAGTACAAAACATTTAACATGTAAACTTGAACACACTAGAAAAACAGAAAACGGGTGCATGGAAATTTTTGCCCCATTTTATTTTTACACCTTTTGCCCTCGTTACTTGTGGAAAATTTTAAACAGGGACAAATCAAAAGACAGCATAAACTCAAGCAAAACTTTGGCACGGCAAAATTGTTTGTATTATTGCGTTAAAAAGGCGAAAAGAACCCTGTATACATTTCCCATAAAATTTACATGCAACAATTCGTCCAAATCAGTAATACTGAAAAATCCAGTATCTTTATTTCAGTAAATACCTAGACCTAGAGAAAGTTGACAAGTCAAAAAAATGGTCATCAAAATCAATCCTCAAATTCATGGATGTTTCTACCTAATCTGCATTTCCATATTTAAAGCATCTAAAACTTTTAAAATAATGAGCTTCATAGAATACTTTAAATAAAAAACTCACCTCGTTATGTGAAACGTCAAGGAAGGTCAAGGCTGGACAGCAGGACAGGACCTCCACAGGGAATCTGGTCAGTTTGTTCTTCTTCAGATCCACAGTGTGTAGGCTCTCCATAGACTGAAACAGAAATTAATCTAAAATAAAGAAGTGTGTGTAGGTTCTCCATGGACTGAAATAGAAATGAATTAATCAATGAAGAAGGAAATTTACATCAGTTCTTAATAAATCTGTCATTATTGTAACATTTAGGTTGTTGAAATGGAGCTATTTTCTTGAAGAATTATGAAAGCTTTGTTTCACATAGCAGAAAAATTTATTGCTTATTCTAATTTTAAACATTTGTCGATACCTTAACTAATACAAACCTGAAAGAAGTTATCTGGGATGGTAGATAGAGTGTTATCAGTAAGGCTGAGTTTCTCTACGGCTGTGAAGAATCTGGGGATGTCGTCTTTAGACTCGGTGAGGGAATTCAGGGTACTGAGGTTATTAGAGGAGAGGTCCAGGGAAACCAACAGGCTGGCCTCAGATGTCTCACTCTCCCTCCTGGAGTCATCTGTAAGGTCACAAGGTCAAAGTTCAATATCTTATTCTAAACAATCAACAAACTGAGTAATCTTTGACAATATTTCTTAAACTTCTTACTTAAATTTTATTTCATTAAATGATACTTGAACTTATTATACACCCCGCTTGAAAAGTGGGAGGGTATATAGTAATCGGTATTTCCGTCCGTCCGTCTGTACGTCTGTACGTACGTCCGTCCGTCTGTTACGCTTTTGGGTACCCATCTCTTATCCGCAACTCCTCTCATACCACTGAAGGAAATTTAATGAAACTTTCACAGATTCTTAATATTACATATGGCCATTGTGCACCTCCTATTTTACTTTTTGATCTGAAATATATTTTTGATTTTCCAGAGCAAAACATGGACACACTGCCATTATATTCATATGGGAGGCAGGGGGTATCAGTTAGTGAGCTCAATGCTCACAGTACCTCTAGTTTAAGTAGACTTCAAAAATATTTTAATGCTTCTATCAGGGTTAACTTAAAAATTGATTTGTGGTTGGAGAGGTGTCGAGTAAATTTATATTTTATGGTGAAAATGACTTTGCTTGTCTCTTCATACAATCATGTACCTCAAAACCAACTAAAGTTAATCCCCATGAAATTGCGATTTCACAGTAAGCCATAATTTTTTATCTTAAAAAAAAAGAGAAAGTGACTTCTAAACTTCCCCTGCTCCATCAAGACTTACTAGATCCCACAGTTACGTCCAGATCGTCAGCTGATGCGTTGCGCCCCACGTCACTTGATTCTCCGTCACTGGAGGGAACAGGGGTGTAGGAGTGTCTCTATAGAAATACCGGTACACTCGTTATAAACAAACAAAACAAAGTGTTCAGAGATGTATTACATTTGTTTTTCATGGAAATATTGAGATTTTTCTTTCTTTATTATTAAAATAATAATATCATGTTTATATTTGATCACAGTAAAACATCTTCACTCTACTTGTGCTGTTTTTCAAAGACTGATGTTACAAGTATTATCAACATGATCAAGAGACTTGCCCTATCAGGATAAAATACTTCATCTCTAGTGGAATCTAAGTTGGAGTTTGTTAGTGAGGGGGAGGGGCTCCTCTTCTTCCTTGACCAGGGTCCTGCAAATAACAAAGGAGTGATGACTGCTTCAAATCTAGACACATAGAACATGTTCATGCTTTGTTAATAGTATCACCTATATTTGTTTAACATCACTTAATCAGAAGTGGTACTGGTGTAATACAGGGCTCCCACTGGACCGAAAATATTTTTCGCCACTTATCGCGACAAAAGGAAAGGCATTATTACATCTGATTTCTCGACAATGCAATGCACTTTATGTTATTCCTTTTTTTTATTATGTTTATCACAGACATTGTTTTAAAATTGTTATGTTTAAAGCTTATGGTAGTGTCCATTTAAAACAAAATAAATAAAGTTGGAATTAAACAATTAATTTGATATTGAATTGATATCAGCCAACTCTTGACAGAAAATGTCCTCTTGTTTATAATTTTTTGTTTGCCTGTAGAGGTAAAAATATGTGACATTTTTTAAAAATGTAAATTTTCATAATTTCATTAATTAATTGGGAGAAGAAGTAATTAAAAAGTAATGAGAATTAGATTTAAAACTTGACTTGATTTTAACAACTTGGACTCTAGACTCCAGGGTATAATATGCAAGCTTGTGCAATTGTAAATAATTCAGTGTAATTTACTAAGATAATTCTGTTTCCAAACCAATTTCTTTTTCACTATTTGTCAGTTTATGGTATAATGTACACATTTTTCAATTTTCATTAGGTAAAATTTGAAGCCATTTTTTACAATTTTTGTCATGTTTCCCTACTTTCAGTTTTAAAAAAAACGATCTCCATAGATCCAGATTTTGTTGATAAATTTTTTTATTTACGAACTTCATCTCCTAATAACACTTTATTCCCCCTTGTTTAATCCAAGTTATATTGTTTCAAGCAATTTTGTAACCCTTTATTGCTCCAGGCTAGTTACCTAGATTGTGATTTCCTACATGTAGGTTTCAATTTTCACACCTCTGCTGAATTAAATAAACAATGGGAGTTATCTGTATACATTGAAAAAACAAAGGAGCTAACCAGGACTACACAATTTTTGTACATGGTACATCTAAAAAAAATCATTTTCGCCACTTATGAATTTACTTCTGAAAAAAATTCGCAACCCTGTTGAGCCCTGGTGTAATATGAGCAGATAGATTGATTCGAGGGTCAGACTATATTTATCCTACCCTGTAGAGGTCCCAGTGTGAGCTGGGAGGATGGATTGACTCGGGGGTCAGATGGATTGACCCGCGGGTCAGACTAGATTTATCTTACCCTGTTGAGGTACTGGTAATAGATTGGCGGATGGATTGACCCGCGGGTCAGACTAGATTTATCTTACCCTGTTGAGGTACTGGTAATAGATTGGCGGATGGATTGACCCGCGGGTCAGACTAGATTTATCTTACCCTGTTGAGGTACTGGTAATAGATTGGCGGATGGATTGACCCGCGGGTCAGACTGGCTGTAGGGTAGATTAGCTCCGGTCAATGACATCTGTTTCCATTCTTGTCCCTCAGCATGAGAACTTTCAAACATCCAGGATTTACTCTCACTTTCTGATAACAAGCAAACATCCACAACTCAATCTATGCTTCAGATATAAAACAACTTCAGTTGTCTACATCAACATGTACTTTAATTGTACTCTAAATGCTTCTTTTTTTTTTTTACTTTTCAGGTTAAATATCATCATCTACTAAAAGACAGGTTTCAAAATTTTTCAAAACTATCTTAAAACACAGCCAATTCAATTTTCACTAGTCCTGTGTTTGCGATTCTCCAAATGTTTTTTTTTTAGTAGTTTTCTGTCTTCTTCTATATGGTAAAATTTCAACGTAAGAAACTTTGTGCAATGTGTTTGTTTTTCAATCTTAAAATGCTGCAAACATAACAAAAATGGGATCTTCATGTAAAATACCAGATGAAAATGGTTTTATAAGGATATGAAAATGCTTTTTTCTGGAATTTTTCAATAATCCAAGTTAAAAAACATCAAAATTAATATCTCTGTACCATCAGTACTATCTAAGGAGAAGACAACAGATTTCTGTGGCTCCTCTGGCATCTTGATACTGCTAGCAGGGCTACGGATGGGAGATAACTGTCTCCTCCTATGGATAACATCCCGATGTAGTAGAGCAACATCGGGACTAGTGTTACGTCGTGAGATCTCTATAAATAGAGTGGGCTTTTTAACAATTACATCTCAGTAGAATGATGCTAGATATTGGCATGATACAACGTTGTTGTGAGATCTCTACATAAATAGAGTGGCATTTTAACAATAACACCTCCATAGAGTGAAGCTAGGGATCAGCATGATACAATGCAATCTTTACAGGGTTACTTTTGCCCTATTACAATTGAAAACAATTATGCCCCATTTGAAACAAATATTATCCTGATAAAGTGGTGTGAAACAAATAATATTGTTTTTACTTACACCTTCTAAATATAACCACTTGCTACAAATTATACTGTAGATTCTTTATTATAAGCAGGGACTTTATTATCATGTGACTTTGATAGAAGAACTACTCCTTAAATACTGTAGAAGTACTTTTTTTCTTCGTGGTATTATTTTATGCTTTGTACACGGTCACAAATTTTCCGCGGAAACTTGTCCAAGCATACTTAATATTAATGTAAGGCATATAGTGACAGTTTAAGAAATCCGCGTAATTTTCTTCCCACGGATTAAACAGAAATTGTGATTCCGCGGAATTATGACCCTGCGGAAAAAAAGTACGTCTACAGTACTCCCATTTGTTTGTATGTTCCTAAAAGTGTACAAACTCTTCATCAACACTTCATAACCTACCCTCTAAGTTTAGAAACTAAAATACTCATTTCTGACTTACTTTTGTATCAATATGTGTTGGGATATGCATGTACTCTCTCCCTCCTTTGTATTTTTTTTCTCAATGATCACTATGTGTAGGAATATAAGTATACTCTCTTTCCTACCTCTGGATTTCTTGACCTCGATCTTTGTGAGGTCCTCGTAGCTCTGTTTGAACTTGTACCGGAACTTGTGTCTGTGCCCCCCCATACTGGACTCACTCATCGAGTGCTGATACTGGTTCTCCTTCCGTCGCTTTCTTTTGGCCTCGCTCTCTTTGACGCGGGACGTGATATGTTTCCAGGAGCCAACATACAGACCTGTAGAGTACAGAAACTGATTATACAACTAAATATCTGACTACACGACCCAATAACTGTCTATACGACTCAATAACTGACTACAGGACTCAATAACTGACTATACAACTCTTTTTTTGTATCTCTTCTCCCAAATTTCACTGGCCTGACAAATTTTTAAAACTTTTTCCTAAAAATTATTTTCAATTCAACTCCCTGGGATTTTTTTTAGATTACAGACTTACAGTTTCTACTGCTCCTCATAGATTCGGCTTTTTCTGTTGTCAGAGACCAAGGCACTGCCATCTCCAACCACACTGGGTGAAAATCTGTAACACCCAGTCCTAACCCACTCCACGGTACATGTAAGCCTGCACAACAATAATAAACACACACGTTAACATTTCATTCAATTAAGCCTTACATGTGTAAAAAATATGATCTCTGATACATCGACTTTCATGTATTACTGTAAACCAACTTTTATTCGCGTGCAAGAAATTTTCGTGAGGTTCATGAGAACCTCGTCATCGCGAATATTTCTCGCCACGAACCGGTCCTTGAAGTCTCTGTGTCTATTGAAATATATCAAAAAAGACTTGATCACGAAAATTAATCGTCGCGAACGAGTTTACCTTTAGTAAATCGCTTAATAAAGTCGTCGCGAATAAAAGTTGGTTTACAGTATTAATTAATCTCACATTGATTGTAAACTTCCAAAATTTCTCTACTTTTTCTTTAAAATAACAAACTAAGACAAACAAAATAATAATCCTATGATATAAATTTTCATATTTGATTGTAAACTTACTTGTTCGTTTGTGACACAGGGCCCCTAGTAACAGTCCTGTGATTCGGTGGTTCCCAAGTTCTAGGCTGGTTCTTAGGGCATCTTTAATTTCATTGATACCCTGTAAATAATTACTGTACAGATAGAAAACTGCCAATACTTCCAGAAATATCACTCTAAAATATGATACTAAACTGTTGATTAAAATACCTAGTTGTGGATGTTAATGTTTGTCTCTTGTTAACATCTTAGATTATATAAGCATAAATTCTAATATCTATATGATTTCTAAATAAAATTTCCCGACTATAAAATAATAAAATTTTAAATCAACATTGTAAATAACATGCTAAACACTGTTCTCAATTTAAAACACAGTTGAACTTTGGTATATCAAACAATATCTTGAATACCATAGATTCGTCGTAGTAATTTAGAAGTCCCAGCCCCTTATTCCTTAAACACCCAATTTTATGTTAACGCCCCTAAAATCTACCTGATTCAAGATCAATAATTTACCGCCTGTCAATCATTAAAAAAACAATAGCTTCTGATTTGATTGACAGGCCAGCTACCCATACTACCTGATAATCTGAGTTTGTGTCTTTTGAAAACAATTGCCTGGTCACGCGTCAAACACTTTCATGTAGCCGCCTTGTATACACGGGGGTTAAAAAAAAGAATCTTGGTAATTTTTTTTTCAAAAAACAATTGAGAGCAGATAATTTAAACATGACTTCATAAAATATTTGCTTTCAATCTCAACGGCTATATTGTATTTTAGGCGATATGTCGTCCAAGATATCTGCTGTAGAATTTAGAGCAGTCCGTGCACAGAAACGCTATTTGCCGATTAAAATTGGAATATGATAAATAAGAAAAGATATATTAGCACAAACGGCATGGATAAAAAATTCCTTTATCCAATGTTTTATCAATGTATATTTGAATACAATCTACACCATGTTCCGTTGTAATTGAAATGTCAGAAACATGCTGTAACAGTTCGAATTTCCTAACGTCTGTCAATACCCAATATTCGAAGTTAAAAAGTGAATGTATAAAGCCAAAGATCAATTCTTAAAAGTATGAAAGAAATCTTGCAAACAATAAAAAATTTTAAACACACGAACACCCGGAAATGGGTGAATATTTTCGACACTATTGTTTGTCAGAACGTAGGCAATATATATTCCTGCGGCACATTGTATATATGTTCACAAAACGGATATGCCTATGAATGGAATATTTTATTATTCTTTTAAATTTTGATAGTTACACAAGTTTAAATAAATAAACTTTGTATTGAAATATTTCAATTATTTCAAGCAGTTTCACTCCGATTTAGACATGAAACACGGAATTTTGACCCTGATAACCGGACACAGACTTCCTGTGTAATGCTACGTGTATATAGATTTTTGACGTCTTGGGTATTGGGGGTCTCCAGGTAAATAACAGCACTGTTACTTGGACCACTCCCCCTCCTCAGGTAACCGTACGGTAAAAAAATTGGGTCTTTAAGGATTTGACCCCTAATACAGGACTAGAGAACAGCTACTCACTTTATTCAGGAGTCTCCTGACAATGAATTCATTCCCGTTGGTGACAGCGCAGTATAGTGGTGTCTCGCCCTCAGCGTTTACAAAGTTAACGTTGGCTTCCATCTCCAGCAAACTCTCTACTCCCTACAAAGGTAAGGATGAGGGGTTTGTCAAATACATAGAAAATACAACAGGGTTATCAAAAACAGTTGGATTTTAAATATATGGGTCGTTGAGAGTTGCCCATAATGTTTGTGGGCAAATGATAAATTTTCTTCAGAAAGACCACAATCCCAAATGTGTATGATAATATTTTAATACAGCCATTATGTATAAAAAATGAAAACAATACACATCTATTTTATGAACATCTTCGGTGTAAATACTTTGTACATACATGGCTCAGTGTTTCAAGATAACATCAAATTTATTAATGAAAACCTCTCTATTTATCATCAAATTTATATGAAAACCCTGATCTCTGTTGAGCTTAAACTATCAAATCAAAACTATTTCAACACAGAATTTCTTAACAAATATTTTGGTATACATATATTCAGTGAACAATACATACAGCAAGGTTCCCTCTCCTACACTCGGCCAGAAGCATGTTGGCTTTCACGGTTTCATCGAGACCAAAGATCACCAGACATTCTCCAGCAAGGTCAGATAAATCTAAAACAGGGACAATTTCAGTAACAGCATAATTTGGTCCTTAAGGTCAACATCTAGTAAATGAAAGATGCCTACAGATTTATCAAATTTGAGAAATAAATTCCTTTAATGATGCTTTAAAAATTTAGCTTGGTCAAATAAGGTGTTTCGGGGCATAATTTGTACGTAAAAAAGCTGAAAAACCATATTTTAAACTGTCATTTTCAATGAAATATTCAGAAAACCATTGAAGAATATGGGAGTTTTTACCATATATTTGACAAAAAAAATGTATCCAGATTGCCTAGTCTCTCAGAAAACGGTTATTTGTATGTTCATGGCCTTTTCTTTAAAATAATATAAAATTTAATTTAGGTATCGAGACAACTTTTCAAATGATTTCAAATTGAATGCTATGAAAATACCCTATTTTCAACATAATTCTGCTAAAGCCATAAAGTACTTGAAAAAGAAAGTTGAAATTGATTATGACGTCTTAGTGGATCTAACACCAAAAAAATTAGTCTAAAGTCATTTGCTAGATCTTGACCTTAAACACAGTTTTCTCACAAATTCTGTCTCCATAAAATAATTCATAGTAAGAAATACCATAAACTGGATTAAATATTGAATACCAGATACTATATACATTAAATAATTGCATTTAAAAGGCACAAACTGCCAAAATAATGTATATTATAAATGCTAGTATTTGGCTTAGTTTATTATAATTCATGTAAGCATCTAAAGCATATGTATGCAGTCAGAATCTCTTGATAATGGATTTTAATGGGAATGAGAAACAAGTTCAAGAAATATAACGATTCCATACAGATATTGAGGGTAAAATATAAATAAATGCCATGTTCAGAAATCTAAATACTGCATGTCATACACAATGTACATGTACCGGGTACAAAAAGCAATGCACAGACAAAAAACAGTATGTGTACATAAATTGGCATATTCAAAATTTAGCGCACCCACTGGGTATGGAGTTATTGGTGTAATCATTAATTAGCGCTATGTTTGTCCCTACTATGTACAGCAAAACTCATTTAGTACGAACACGGATATAGCGAATACATGGATATAGCGAATTTATTTTGGATCCCAAGCTATATAAATTTAACGAATTACGGATATAGCGAAGTAGTTTCATAGGTCCCAGTGACTTCATTATAATAGAGTTTTACTGTATTGTATTTTAAAAAGTTTTCTTAGCAGTCTTCATGAATTAGCGAATCATTGTCCGCGCCAATGCCGCTAAAATATCATTATGAAGCCAGCTTTTTAAAGTACACATACAGCAGTCATCTTATAAGGTTTCTAGACATGCAAAGCCAAAATAGCCTATCCAGATGTTTCTAGTACTGTAAAGCCAAAATAGCCTTAAGAAAGGTTTCTAGCACTGCACAGCCAAAAAAAAAAGGTTTCTAGCCTAGTCTCTCCTTACAAGGTTAGCAACACACAGCCAAAATAGCCTATCCAAAGGTTACTAGCTCTGCACTGCCAAAATAGCCTATCCAAAGGTTTCTAGCACTGCACTGCCAAAATAACCTATCCAAAGGTTTCTAGCACTGCACACTGCACAACCATAATAGCCTATACAAAGGTTTCTAGCACTGCACAGCCAAAATAGCCTATCCAAAGGTTTCTAAAAAGTAGATGAATTTGAAGCATGCTCACCTTTACCATACATGCTTTCTATACATAAATATCAATGAACACATTCATGTATACAGTAGTGTACTGAAAAATACTTTTGTTTACAATACATGTATGCTATTGACACATAGGAGGCCAATGGGTCATACTGCTGTCCAGAGTTACTGGGGCCCTGTTGATTTTTTCCAAAATAGCTAAATATTCCTAGTATGTAAAATTTTTATCATATGATATCATGCTCAAACCCTTTCCCCAGGGGTTATGATTTGAACAATCTTGAATCTACACTACCTAAGGATGTTTCCATAGAAATATCATAAATCATGGCTATATTGTTGCTGAGAGGACTTTTGAGGATTAATTCCTATATACTTTGTTCACCTGATACGTGAAAAGTTTATGATACCAATGGCAATGAAAGATAATGGACAAATTTTGACTAGAAAAGCTCTGGTGGGATGAAAATTCCATTAAATTTGCACTAATTCTAAATATTTCCCCTTGAAAGAAGGTTTGGCCCTAATTTGAACAAATTAAAATCCCCTTATCCAAAAGAAAAAGATGCTTTGTAGCTATTTTGGTAGGAAATGTTGATTACCTTGGTCAATGTGATCTGCCAGTATGTCAAACATCAGCTGGTGACAGCCTGCTCTCACAAACTCTTCACAAAGATCAGGACCAAGCTCTGATACCAAATGTACAGCAACACAGGCCTATAACAAAAGGAGTACAGTACTACACAAGAATAAGATATTCTAAAATAGAGCATTGCAACTATAAACTACATGAAAAAAGAGAGAAAAAAATCCCCATACCTCTTTCAGCAGTCCTATTTCAGAGTTATGCTTGATAATGGTAGAGGTAATGACCTTGACAAGTTGAGAGCAAAGGTCAAGGTTGTTAATGATGGATGGTTCACTCAGCATCTGGATCAGTACCAGCCCCTTTCTCTGAATATCTATAAAATATATTTACCATTAGCTTAATCTCGATTTATACCCCCCCCCCCTTTCTCTCCTCACAAATCTTTGGGTTATAGTGCTATTTCAAGTTTTGATTTATTTACGTAGAGTGTTCCTGAATATGAAGACAATATACAATTGCTACATGTAATATCCACTAATAAACAGCTTTACCCCAAGTCTGATTATCATTTCAATCAAGCTTACACAGGACATCGGTAAAATGTTCCATAGTCCTTATCACATGATTAAGAGCCCCCACTGAATTCAGGATTTCTGCTGCTTTGTCTGAAATTACACAGAAATTGAAATACTTATTCCATGTAAATTAATTAGTCAAATTTACACAATCTACACAAATTAATTTTCATATCACATTCAGATTTAGACAATCCATATGAATTAATCATACATGCCAACTTTTGAAAATTCCCATGGGGGATTTAGCGCGTGATGACAATTTTCAAAGCTTTAAATTCGCAACATTTTGTTGTGAAATTAAATGATTATATGAAATGATCTTTTTTAAATTGATAATATTGATATCACTTATCAATACAACTTAGGAATCAATTCAACACAAAAAATAATTTTAGTTTTTCTTTCCAAAATTGAAATATTTTTGCTAAAATAGGTGCCTCTCTCACTAAAGAAGGGGTATTTCGTTACATATGTAAACATTTTTTTTCTCTACCAGGACACATAATTTAGTGAAAAATTAAAATTTGTATAACTTTTAAATCATTTTTTTTCAAAGGCTAAAAAATTATGATGTTTTGATACTGTTAAATCCTGTTTCTGGAAACATTTTTGAGATTTTTATTTATATTTCAATTAATTAGAATTTCTAATAAAATATTAAATTTACAGAAATTTATACCACCTATCTAAAAGAGAATTATTTTTTTTTTTACAGTCATGAAATTAGTCAGTCTTGATGGTGCCATGTGGGTATTTCCTTAAGACATGCACATACCTAACACATTACTTTTGGGAGAAGGGAGGGAAAAGAAATTCTAATTGACATACACTTGATTGTTTCATCCTAATTTTTTCATAATATTTTAACTGGCAAACTTTACAATATTTGTCAATAGGAAGATAAAATCAACAGCTATGCGTTGTAGTTTTCTACTTTCGTTTTCAAAAAACAATCTCTTTGGATTCCGATTTTATGGTTTGATTAGTATTTTATTGTCTTTAATTTATGTTTTTAATAAAATGACTAATAGTTATCACGTTAGTCTATGTGTTTCACCTTGCATACCCCTTAAAACTGACAAGATAATCCCCTAATTGCCCCAAGCTATAAGCTACTTGTACCTGAACAACTGCGTGCGTTCAAGCGTGAAGTGATTTCCTGTGACTAGACCTAATTAACACCTGGTTAAATAAACAATAAAACTATCTGTGTGCATTGAATAAACAAGTCTGACATTGTTATCCCGACTGTCAAAATTCAGCGGTAGGGAAACTTTTATAATATGAAATTTTAAGGTGATTTTTTTCAAATCGGGAAATTAGGGCAATTTTTCTCTCCCGATCGGGAGAGTTGGATGAAGGGGTAAAATCGGGAGGATCCCGCCTAAATTGGGAAAGTTGGCATGTATGATTAATTTCCATATTGCATTCATTTCAGACAATTCATATGAATTAATCAAATTTAGAAATCTATGTGAATTAATTTTCATATTGCATTCAAACTTAGAAATCCATGTGACCTGATTTTCATACTGCATTCAAATTTAAACAATCCATATAAATTGAATTAATCAAACTTAGAAATCCATGTGAGTTTATTTTCATATTGCATTCAAACTTTGAAATCCTTGTGAATTAATTTTCACACTGCATTCAAATTTAAACAATCCATATACAGTAAATTAATTTTCAAATAGCAATCACGCCTATACAGTGACTGGCAACAAGGAATACACATTCTGCCATGGCATCTGATCCAACCTCTGATGTTTTGGAGGTCTGTGTTTGCTCTGCTCCTATTTTGTATTGTTTTATGGACTTTTGAGCTTGAATACTGTTTGTTATCTCCATATAATGCACAATCCATGTGAATTCATTTTCAAATTGCATTCATTTTTTTCCGAGTCAAAAAAAAGTTCGCAAAGAGAAAGTGTGTGCATGTTTTTTTGTGTGTGTGTTCCCTACCTGCAGCTGAGAGCACACACAGACATTCCAGTCCGGCTTCCTGCATGAGTTCATTGTCAAAAGATTTCTCCAGACTCGTCAGTATACGGACGTGTAGCATCTCCACCAGGCACTGGTTACAGAACATCTCTGTGGGGCAAGAAATCTGAAGGATTAATTCTTCAGTGGATTTTAAAGGAGAGAATTAATATCACTAGTATCTGTAATTACATGCAAGACTGATATGAAACAAGAGATGTTTGTAAAACACTTATGCCCCACCCCCCCTCCCCCCAAAATTGGAATTTTTCCAAGTATAAATGGCAAAACTCTGTCAAAAATGGCATGATAGTACATAGAACAGAACTTGATATTCATCTGATAAATCTGTATACTAAATTTTATATCAGTATGTGCAACAGTTGTGAAGAAAATGAACGGAAACTGCAAATAATTGAAATTTTTTCTAAGTCCAAGGGGCATAACTCTGTGAAAAGTGGTGCGATCATACCCAAAACACAACTTGACCCAGATATTCATGTGATATATCTGTTTCTAAATTTCATCTCAGTATTGCAATGGTTTTGAAGAAAATGAATGGAAACTGCAAATAATTGAAATTTTTCTAAGTGTGTGGGCATAACTCTGTAAAAAATGGTGCGATCAGCAAAAACAGAACTTGGCCTAGATATTCATGTGATATATCTGTATACCAAATTTCATTTCAGTATGTGCAATGGTTGTGAAGAAAATGAACGGAAACTAAGTGGACCGACAGACCGACCGACAGACAGCAGCAAAGCAATATGCCCTCCCTTCTTCGAAGGGGGGCATAATAATTTGAGAGATTCAGGCATACATGCACAAAATCCAAATAATTATTCTATGACACAAAAAATGTCTACTTAAAAAAAAAAGGTATGATTGCTGGATATTGTTTGACAGGATATTTTTTTAAACATTTATTTATACATGTAGTTCAAAATTATTTTTACTTTTTTTTTAACTAAAAACAATTGATTTTTCACAAACTGTAATTCCTGGATGTCATTTGCAATAACCATCAAACTATGGACCAGAATAAGCTAAATACATTTGATTAACCAATACTGTAAACGTATTACATTTGGCTGTGTATTCTTTTTAGCGCTTTTGGTGGAAAGCAATCTCCGCTAATATTCAAGTACAAGGCTAAATGCCTCGCACATATACCTATGAAAAAGAACATTAAGACATATGCGCTAAATCAAATCCACGCTAACTTGTTCAAAATCCAATTTCTGCCAAATATCATACGCGCTAAATATAATACATGTACAGTATATGCAAGGGAAAACAATTATTGGAAATTACAAAAAATTTCATAAATCAATGATTTTAGAGTTTGCAAAATGCAACATACACATACTATTCAAAACACAACAATGCAATGCTCTTTATTTCAAGTCCTTTAATAATAATGCATGCAGTAGATCAAATTACTTCATGCCAACCATATTAAATAACTATAAGTTTTGTTTTTATTGGAATAAGTAAAAGTTACCATGATTTTTCAAAATTCCCAGTTACTTGCACATGCATTTATTTTTAGAGAGTATAAATCAATGAAACATACCACAAACAAACCCTTACCAATCATTTCAAGTACTTGCAATGAAACCTGAAATAAGTCTTAATCCTATAATTTGTTTTCCATATTTCTTTTGATGCTTACCAGGGTAATTAAAATTTACTTTCCTGCAGTCAATAATGTATTTACTTCCTAATAAAATAAAGTGACATCTCATATTCTAGATGTCTTTGTCATGTTAAGTCATTGCCTGCATTTATTAAAATATGACTAGATTTTTCAGTAAAACTTCTCTACCGGTAATCCTAGAATTGAGTATAATCTGAAATCTTGCCTTCTATGATAAAAATCTCTAGTCCATTCTACATGTATTTAAATTTTTTTCTTCTGATTGAAACATATAGTTTAATCTAGAAAATTTGTATTTTCCCAAAATTAGATAACCATTATAACATGTTTTTTTTTAAGACACCATGCATTGTTTAAAATATACTAACAACCAATATTTATGAAACATAAAGTTATACAATTCCCTTACCCACTTCAGCTAGACAGGCTATAGTACTGATGCACTCTATAATAACGTTATCCAAATGCCCATGAATGTTAAAGGCTTGCGTGAGTTTTTTCTGTATCCCCTCCATAACCAATTTCATCTTATTGGCATTACTACAACAAAGCAATCCAGCAGGCACACACAGCAAACAAAGAAAAAAACAAATTACTTAAACATCTTTCATTCTTTATTCGTTGTATATGAACTTCATTCTGCTGACAATTTTATGTTTGTGAAGGACACAAACTCTTAAATTATCTTTGTTGCTTTCCCTTTTTTGACTTTTTTAAATTCACTTTTGTGTTTAATGCCATGCTTCCATCCAGTACCCAGGGTCAGGATTCGCTGTGACAGATGTGCAACAAGAAGCCAGCATCGGATAAAAGTAGAACACGATACACAATGTTCTGAATGTTGAGATTTAACAATAAAACTTTTAACACAAATATGAAACTATGTCTTAGAATCATTTAATTTTTAATTACATGTATATTTTTTTATTCCATCCAGAAATGTACAAGTGTATAATACGTCTCTGTTCAATTTACCCATGGCCGAAATTGGGATAGACACTCGGTCTTTTTAAATTCCGATCGGCTTAGTACGAGTCAACTTGAGATAGATTCGGACTATCGGTCAGGTGTTAATTTGGCACACTGTACTATAGGTATAGTTTTATAAAAAAAAGTCATTTAAATCATACACGTATTAGGTTTCATGGAAGTAAAGGGTAAATCTATCTAATATATATTTGCATCTTTCAGCAATCAGGCCCCAAAACCAAAAACTTTTAACAAGTCAAAATTTGTTTTTTTTAATATCTTGAACTTTAATTTATCAATAATGTATGAAAAATTACCAGTGAGTCTGATATATACCCACACAAAGGTGTGATGAAAAAGTTGTTTTATTTTCAAAGTTATTTCAATAGATGTACAAATTTCTAAGATTGACTTGTCTGTTCTCAGCTTATGGTCTTGGGGCCTGCTTGAAAAGACTTGCAAACATATGCTTTTAAATGAGTGTAGATCTCTTTTTAAGCAATCCTGATAACTCATGATAAAAAAAAAAAGAGTAGAGAAATTCCAGAATGTGGAGAAAATTAACTGAAGTGCACTACATTTTAAACAAAACATCTCTCAGTCACACAAAAATAAACCCCTGTACCTAGTCATTCCATGTACCAGTTAACATGTTAAGGCTCAAGATTAAAAAACAAAACAAACCCTTCTGCCAGGAATGGAGCACTCCCTGAAATATAATCATGCAGACACTTACTGGAAGATGATCATGGCCCTGAGGGCCCTGAGGCCACACTCCACCGCCAGTGACCAGATAAAATGTCGCCGGATTCCGTCCATCACCGCCATATAAGCATTCTTTTCCACAAGATTCTCACAGATCTGCTCTGTAAAGACATTGTGTCTGCCTTTTAGAGCAATCTATATGTTTAATTCTGGATGTACTGTTTAAAAATATATATATATAACAATTCTTATTTAATTCAGGAAAATAATCGAAAATTTAGTGATCTCAGCTGCTGATTCAGGATTTTCAGTATAATTAATTATTAGTCCTTCATGAAAATTAGATTTCTATACATTAACTGAATTTTGTTGATGAATCAAGTCCTGTCATTGAGCTTACCGTGGTCAGCTGCCAACCAATAGAGAGCTTCACAGGCACAGGAAAACACCTCCATGTCCCTCTTGTACATCAGAATGTTACCCACACACATCGTATGAAGGGGAGACCTGGGGGGACAAAAAATAGAGTAACTTACACACACACAAACAAACACACAAATCATAGAGATAAAACACCTTCATGTCCCTCTTGTACATCAGAATGTCACTCACAAATCATGTGAAGAGGGGACTTACAGAATAGCTTACACACAAGCACAATTCTTTTTTCCTTGATGTTCTTCTTACACTAAACTCTGGCACAGATACTGTAATGTTTTAACGGGGTAATTCTATTGCTAAACTCAAAAGATAGAAAATCTAGAGGACTATGTGACACAAAATTCCATGTGCTCTGATACAGTTCTAAGTTACACACTGATCTCCCAGTCCTCCTTCTTATACACAACTTACTGAGGTATGTTGTTGATGATGTTTTCTCCAATCTCACTGTGTGCCCGAGGACAAACCTTCAACAACTCAACGATAGCTTTACAACTCCAGATCTGTGCAATATGCAAAAAATCTTCAAATATGCTTTACTATAATAATATAATTAATCTTTGTAAAATATAGCCCGACTATAAATCAAAGAAAGAATTAGTACGGTCAAACCTTGTTATCTCAAATTTAATGAGAGCACGAAAAAACTTCCAAATATCCAAGGATTTGAAATTCTTTAGGAATGAGTAACTAGGGTCTTCCAAATCAATTAGACATTGCCATGATATTCAAAATAATTGGGTTCAAGATACCAAAGTTCAACTGTTTTTGCCTTTCAAGTAATAAGAAAGAATAGAATAATGTATAAGGAAGTTGGGATAAAAACAAAATATCTACCTCTTCAGTCTGAATGAGAGTGGATTGCAGAGAGAAAAAAACCTGTACATATTATTACCAGTACATTTCCTTACCTGTACATTTCTGACATCCATCAGTCTGAGCATTGCATTAAAGATGAGTTCACACCACTGCTTACTCAGTCGAGTTTCCTCATCATCTGTTATATCCGAAAACACTCCCTCACCTACAATCAATTAAAACATAAATAAAGCTCAAAATTAACTTACAGGAAATCTTATCTCGACTATAATTACAGATTTTCACATTACAATTTTTTAACTTCCAGAAGTTGATTTCAGACACAACCTTCAAAACAAATTGACCAGACCGAGTATAAAAACTAGAAATATGTCCATAGGACATGAATGCCCCGCCAAGGATATATTAGTAAAGCAACATGAAAATTCGTATGTGTATAAAATTTGACCCACACAGTTTGGTTCAGGTAGGGGTTATAGTTACTTGGGAAAAAAATGTAGTCAGACTTACACACACACAAACACACAAAGTCTGGATAAAACATCATCCATGCAAGTTTGGTTCAGAATGTCACTCATAAATATGGGAAGGAAAATGTAGGTCAGATCTTACACACAGCACAATTCTGGTAGTGTCCATCACTAAATGGCACATCCATGCAAGTTTGGTTCACTGGTAAGATTATAGTTACTTGGGAAGGAAAATGTATGGCTCTGATACTGTTCTAAATCTAAGGTCCATCCCTAGATGCATCATCCATGCAAGTTTGGTTCAGGCAGGGCTTATACACAACTACTGGGTATGAAAATATTCAGACAGCATCCGAAGCAAGTTGGTAGTGTCCATCCCAATGCATCATCCATGTGTGTTCAGGTAGGGCTTATAGTTACTTGGGAATGAAAATATAGTCAGATACAGCTCCAGATCTGTGGTCCATATGCAAATCATCCATGCAAGTTTGGTTTAGGGCTAATATAGTTACTTGGGTGAAAATATAGCCCACTAAAAATCAAAGAAAGTCTGGTAGTGTCCATCCCTTGATGCATCATCCATGCTAGTTTGGTTCAGGTAGGGCTTATAGTTAATTGGGATTTGAAAATATAGGTCAGTATCCAGCTTCCAAAGCAAGTCTGGTATTGTCCATGATATCATCCATGCTAGTTTGGTTCAGGTAGGGCAATTATAGTTTTTCCTTTGGAAATGAAAAATAGGTCAATTTAATCCAAAGCAAGTTGGTAGTGTAAAAACAAAATGCATCATCCATGCTAGTTTGGTTGAGGTAGGGCTTATAGTTCCAGAGAGAAAAAACCTACTCCAAAAACTTTAACCTGGTCACTCATCTGGATAATGTAGGTCTGACATCCATCAAGTCTGAGCATTGCATTAAAGATGCATCACACCACTGTTTATCCAAGTAGGGCTTATAGTTCATCTGTTATATGCTCCAAAAACTTAACCTACAATCAATTAAAACATAGGTAAAGATCAAAATTAACTTACAGTAAATCTTATCTAGAGGCACCATAATTGCAAGTTTTTCAACATGTGAAGTTTTTTAACACCAGAAGTTGAAGACACAATTCAAAACAAATTGACCAGATTAATATAAAAAAATGCAGTCAAGGTCAAATTTATTAACATGTCAAAACATGTTGATGCATGTTTAATAGTCATAAATTAAAACATAAAATTTTAAAAGTATAATATATATGCCATCCTGTAGTGAAATCACTTACAAAATAAACAGAACAGTTCTAGCCCGGCTGCCATTATAGATCCACTGCAGGGGTGATTGGTCATCAGTGGTACCAGTGTTGTGGACAGGAAGTCAGTACAATATAAAGTATTGCGGACAGCTTCTAAAATTAATTTTGAAGAAGATATCAAATTTAAAGTAACAGGTACATGATGTAATTAAAATTTTAAATTAAAACATAAAATTTTTACAATATATATGCCATCCTGTAGTGAAATCATTCTTACAAAATAATCAAATACTGCATGTGCACATCAATTGGTGCGTTCAAAATTAGCCAAATCACTGGGTAGGGGTGATTGGTCATCAGTGGTTTACCACGTTTGTGACATGAAGTTGTATAATATAAAGTATTGAAACAGCTTCATAAAATTAATTTTGCACCAATGCTGCTAAAATATCAAATTTAAAGTAACAATTACATGAATGTCCAATAAGATTTTGTTTCCTATCAAACAATCAAGCATTTTACAATTTAGAGGAAAGTTGTTTTAAGATTTTTTATCAAATACTGCATGTGCACAGAATTTGGTGCTCATAAATTAGCCAAATCACTGGGTATATATATCAGTGAATTAGTGGTTATAACTCTGCACTCAGGGCCATTAAGTAGAAAGGTTTCTTTATTGTGCATTACCTCTACTGTTACATGTATGGAGCATTGGTTTTTAAGGTCTTATCCAAAGGCCTTGCAACTATGACTTCTAAGCACAAAGTACTTGCCAAAAGAACAATTACTACCTAATTTTATTGACTAAGGTCAATCATGGTCAAGATATACATGTAATTACAGAACCTTCAAATCAAGGAGCAAGCACTCTACCGACTCATCTACCATGACGTACCATTGGGTTGGAATGTTTTGCTCTACATGCAGACTCGCCGAAGGTAGTATAAGATCAACAAACTGACTTACCATCTGTCTTGAGTTGCATGAGAAGATCACAGCCCGCCTCAATGAGTTGTACATCAGCTGAGACACTAGTGAAGGAGTCCAACACATACTTATCTACTTGGTGGGACACCAGAAAGGGGAGGTAACAACCATCTGTAAATGTAAAGCTTTGTTATACCGGTATTGTATGTGCACATAAATTGGCGTATTCAAAATTTAGCACAATCAATGGGTAATGAGTTATTGGTGTATTCATGGATTAGCGCAACTCATGTCCATGCCGTACATATTACATTTATTTTATGATTTCTTAGTGGTATTCATGAAATAGCGCATCATTGTCCACTCTAAAACTGCTAAAATATGAAGCTTGAAATGAACATAAAAATTATCTGTAAAATCTCTAATTACAAAATTATACATTCCTTTAATTGTCAGAACCCCACCTTCTGCCTGGGCCACTGTTTCCAGGACTTTAAACATGGCTGCCAGCACAGAGGCTTCTGATAAGAACCCTTTCATGTCTTCCAGAAATGTCTCTAGTTTTTCTTCAACAAAGGCTTCTAAAAGTTCAGCATCTAAATAAAAATAACACCACATGGAGACATTAAGGCTCTTCATTCACCATTTCTTAGATCTAGGAAACAAAAAAAAATCTGAATTCCTCATGTAAGATTCACACAATATATACACAGGGCCTGAGAAGGGACTGTACTATATGTGCATACTGGCAATAAATAACACAATTCAATGATGGTACTCTGTCTATGCAGTGCACCCCAAAATACGACCATTCATAAAGGTCTTACAAACAGAAAAATCACCTAGTCTAGTCAATATTAAATGATTTGTCAATATGTGGCATTTTTTAATTTCTTAAATTTTGTAGACAGAGATACATTAGGTAGAGGTATATGCATTATCATAGGATCATATATGAGTTGATATACATGTATTTTAAAATGGCCTGAATAAGGGTATATTTCTTCTCGGCCCCTTTTATTTTGAAATGTTAATTGACCTTTCCAGGCACCATATGCATTATACATGTACAAACACAAGTCTGGTACCAAAGAAGTTTGCAATATAATTGGGTTTTTTTTTCAGAATTCCTTATATGCACTTCATATGATGTTTAAAGAATGTCTTATTTTGATAATATAAGAATGTGCTAATTTTCTCTAAAAAGTAAATAACATACATCTAGAAAATCTTAATGCCATGTTTTTGAGAAAGAAAAAAAAAACATCTTTTTTATGAACACTGCATAAAATGTAAATAACCTACCTTCCTCAAGAATACGATACAATATCACACAACTGGACGTCTGAACATTAGTATTGGATTGGTACATCTTCATAGTTATCAGCGATTGGTCTGCTACAGCTCCAAACAGGTCATCTACTAGTAAGCTGTTCCGCAGGGTCTCTGTAGAAATATTCATACAGTCAGCTATATTCTTACATAACACATTGTATGTAAAGATGTGCCAATCTACATATGTAAATTGTGTGGAAATAAAAAATGCCTGAATTCAGAAGCATCTTGCCGTCTAAGCACAAAAAGCATCTAAAATTTTCATCAGTAAACTTGGAGCAAATTAAGATTTCATTGCAGAGATTTTTCTCAAATAACAAACACATACATGTACCCCAACTTTAACTTTAGCAAAAGTGGCCAAAATTTTATATTCAAAAGAATCCTGAGACCACACTCATCATCAGATCCAACAAACACCAGTGAGCAATTATGAACACCTCAACCTTATAAAAAGCCTTCATAATATTGCTAGAGAAGCAATGTCTTAGCAACAAAAGCCACACCTGTATGTGCAATCATGGTTGAGCTCTTTGTCAAATCAATGTATGAAGTTAATTATATCACATCCATCTCAACCAAACTCTTTCTCAAATTTTTCAAATGGATCAAAACCACAGATAAACAAGGGCATATAAATATGTGTATTAACTCATATTCCCTCCATTTCAATAGCACAAAAATTATTTCAAGTGAGCAGAAAAACAATACAAAGTATAAGCTAAAGTAAGCAACTTATCAAAAAAGCAGCAACTCTCCATCTTACATGTACTGTAAAAGCACAAATATTCGTGGGGGATTAAATTTTGTTAATTTCGTTATTTAAAATTATCAACTAAATCCCACACAAAATTTTATATGACTATATATTAATTAGGGTTACTTTCATATCAACGAAATTAAATGCCACGAAACTATTTTTGATGACAAATCAATGAAATTTTATCCTACAAAAATTTGTGCTTCTACAGTACCTCATATTGTATGGTTCATATCCAATATATATATAAATTTGAAAGAATTTACACCTGGAATTTAATGACATCAAGTTTGTTATATTTCTTTAATCTCAAACTGAATTCAAGAGTTGTAGACCATCATTGAGCTTTTACTATAAGAGAGTAAGTCATTACTTCCGATGTGTGCATTACTTGTAAATAAGAAACATAGGTAATCAGAGATTACAGAGCTCACCTCAACGAATGTTGTCTTTAATTAAGGCAAAGTCACACAATTACCCAACAAAAAGTGTACATCCAAAAATGCCAAATTTATGCAATTTTGATCTCATACTTTGAAATAGACCTATAAAAAATTCAAACTAGTTCTTCATCATGAAAATGTGATTAAAATCCAGCATCTGAAGCAAGTTTGAGAGTTTTCATCCCTTGATGCATCATTTTGGCAAGTTTGGTTTATATAAGCCTTATAGTTTCTTGTCAAACTTTTACCCGGTCCATTATGGAAAAAATGTTGAAACTCCGGAGCAAGTCCATTAGTGTGCATCCTAAGATGTATCATCCATGCAGGTTTACACAACATAGGGCTCATAGTTACTTGCATAAAAATTAAACCTCTTCACTCATCCAGAAAAGGTCAGATTCAGCATCCGAAGCCAGCCTGCAACCTTAGATGTATCATTCATGCAAGTTTGGTCATTAAAGAGCTCATAGTGACTTGGAAATGAATCCTGCATGAAAACTTTAACCTGTTCACTCATCCAGAAAATGAAGGTCAGATTCAGCATCCAGCAAGTCTGGTAGTATGCACTAAGAATCATCCAAATTATACATTGTACTTTAGAAATGAAACCTGCACCAAAAACATTAACCTGTTTCATCTATAAAATGTTTAGTCTGGTAGTATGCATCCTAGATGTACCATCCATGCAATTTTGGTCATTATAGGGCTCATTGTATCAGCCCTGCATCAAAAACATTCTGTTCACTCAACTGGAAAATGTAGGTCAGATTCAGCATCCGAAGCAAGCCTGGTAATGTTCATCCAATCATCCATACAATAAATCACAATTGCACCAAAAACATTAACCTGTTCACTCAACGGAAAATGTAGTCAGATTCAGCATCTAAGCAAGTCTGGTTGTTCCTTAGAGTATCATCCATGCAAGTTTGGTCAACATAGGGCTTATAGTTACTTGGAAATAAGACATTCACCAAAAACGTTAACCTGTTCACTCAACCGGAAAATGTAGGTCAGATTCAGCATCCGAAGCAAGCCTGGTAATGTGCATCCTTAGATGTACCATCCATGCAAGTTTGTGTAAATAGGGCTCATATAAAATTAGCAAAACAAACAAAAATGTTAACCTGCTCCAAAAACATTAACCTGGTCATTCCTTTGCTGAAATTGCAGCATCTGAAACTTTGACTGGTACAATGAAACACACTAGAAGCATCTTCCATGCATGTCTAATCAATATAGGACATAGAAGTACTTAAAAAGAAAACTGCTCCAAAAAACTTAACCTGGGACGCCGACACCGACACCAACACCGACGCTGACGCCGAGGGTATTACAAAAGCTCCCCCAACTTCGTTGAGGTGAGCTAAAAATGGTTAAACTCTGAAATTCTTCTTAGGGTTAACATCAGTGAACTGTCAAATCTATAAATAACTGACCTGATTCTAACAGATGGCTAAACATTTTCAGTCCTCTCTCCTGAATTTCCTCATCCTTAGTAAAGTCTTTTAAAGTCTTCAGCAACACTCTATACAATACAAATTTACATTCAGTTTATTTCTTTATAAAAGAAAATCTATCATATTTCTTCATAAATTAATTCTGTGAATCAAATCAAATAAATCACAATTAACTTACAACAGTGTATAACACTTTGCAAGCTAAGTTCCAGTAAAGAAAATCAAAAATTTTCAATATTGATAATTTCTCTGGAGCTTGTGTAAAACAAGTCATAAAATTAGCAAAACAAACTAGAACTGTCCAAACAGGACAAAATCCCCCCCGCCGGGTTTTTCGGAGCTAAATCATGAATATTTCATGGATCTAAGAGAAGAGAGAAATGCTAAAACATTTTTAGTGCAAATGTAATTGTTCATTATATTTTTTATAAATGAAACGAAGGCGCAGCCTAATGAAAAATACAGACTAAATAGACGGACAAGACATGAATTATGGACTTTTTCTGTCAGTGACCTTGAACTTGCATAAATGACCTTGGTCAAAGTCGTGACACAACCTCAGGTCATAAGCAATGTTTGTGTGAAGTAGTAGATTCAAGTTTTTCCATAAAAAAGATATGGACCCGACACGAATTATGAAATTTTTTCTTCCAGTGACCTTGAACTTCCCCAAATGACCTTGGGTCAAGGTCTTGACACACCCTTAGGTCATGAGCAATCTTTGTGTGAAATGAGAACCTACCAAGTTTATCCATAAGAAAGATATGGACCGGACACAAATAATGAATTTTTTCTTCCAGTGACCTTGAACTTCCCTAAATGACCTTGGGTCAAGGTCATGACACACCCTTAGGTAATGAGCAATCTTTGTGCAGAGTAGTAGATTCTATTGTTCCTCTGTAAGAAAGATATGGACCGGACACGTTTGCACAGACGGACGGACAGACAGACAGACAGACAAGCTGATTCCTATATACCCCCCAAACTTTGTTTGCGGGGGTATAATTAATTACGTGTATATATAAGTGAAAGTTCAAATGTTAATTGATAACACATGCCCATGTAAACTTAATTTGCTCTTTTAACAATTATATTATTAAACTGCTAATACTAGCATTCATTTATGAATTTCCATTCTTTCAAATGGAGAAAATACAAAATGCTGCACTTTGAGAGAAATGTCCTAAATGGTGACCTGTATGCAGTGTCTGAAGATTGGGTCTCATCAAATACATCAGGGCATAGTCCCACAAAGGCATCAACCAGCTCTAAACCAATCTGAAAACAGAAAATAAATTATCAGTATTTATCTGGTCATACAGCATCTGGCAAAGGTCAGACATAGCCAAATTACAGAAAACTCAGAGGCAGTGTAAAAACTTATCATCTTAAGTTTATGGTCAGTGCGGTCCAATCTTTCCTTTTTTGATAGATCTACAGCTTTCACATCGTTTTAATAAAAGTTTTCAAAAGCACTCAAGCTTAACGGTCAAGTTACTCAACAGGTCAAATACAGACTGTGCAGTGAAATAACATTAACACTGAGATCTGGATTAAAAACACAGCATCTGATCAGTTTTAAACAAAATTGCAAAGGTAAGAATATTTTTTAGTTCACATTATTTTAAAACCCTCTGCTAAAGGGTTATAATTATAGTTACCTTATGTTACAAGTTGGTTGTTGAATAGAAACAAAATCTTATATTCACTTGAGACAAGATTCTTCTTCTGCATTATTCCTGTAAGTATCAGAATTATGAAATGAGCCTACCTTTTGAATTCCAGTGCTGGAGGAAAAGTTGTTCATTATCCCCACAATGTGCTTGACCACATCCCTGCTAAGTAACCCCTTTACAACACCGTCTATAATGAAAATACAATGTAGTACATAATATTGATCAACATCAAAATGATTTTTTTTTACATTTAGCGTTATTAAAACCATAGCTTTAAGTAACAAACATGCATTTTTTGCATAACACATACATCCCAGTAAAATATTGAATTGCCTGTTTACAA